TCCCCTGACATGGGGTTATTTTATTATTTTATAATGTTTCCTGGGTTGTCCTTATAATGTTAGTATGTTTTTTAGATCAAAAATAGTCATAATTTAGAAATAAAAGGCATTTTTCCTAGCCTGATTTTAGCCTCTGATTTGAACGCTCTGTTTGAAGGGGCGTGTCTGCTGTGTGATTCAGTGGAACCACCCACTGCTGTGATTGGCTGACATGCTTGCATATGAAATAGCTATGTATTACATGTGAAACTCTCTCGAATACTTTTACTACCGCTATTATACGTTTTTACTATTACAGCTATCGAGATTAACGAATCGTGAGAAGTTTTTAAAGTATTTAGATCTATTCCCATCACATAAAATGTTGCCGTGATGAGCATTGAGCAAGCAGATGACAGTCTGTTGATCACGAGAATGAAGATCTTATCATTGCAACTCAGTTTCTGCTCTCTCTAATGCTTTCCCCAATGCAAACACGATGATGTAAATACCTAATACAGTAAGAGCTTCGTTGTGCAGTGTAACGTGCGTCCTTGATTTCATAATGAGTTGTCCAGATAAACTCGCGCTGTGTGGAAAGATTGTTCTTTGATCTCTTTCTGTATAATTTGTTCAGAATTTAAATAAGATTATTTTCATCCTACTAAAAGAAACGATGTGAAGTTGATATTTTAGTCACTGGCTTGACTTACTGATGCATAAACAGTATTGAACGATTTTGAGAGAAAGATTAACTTACCTGTCTGAACTTGAACAATTAGGCTACACATCAGAAATTGTTGCTTGGTAGCTCGATCGATTTATTTTCAGACGTTCATCGAGTTGAGGAAACAGTCGTCGGTGAAATGTTTGGACCATACACAACTTGTCGGCGCATTTCCAGAGAAAATAAAATTAACCCATTGTTTCTTCAGAGGCTCGGATGAAGGAACTAAAAAATACTTTTGTGTTCATTTGTACATCCGAACACTGATCAACTGCCATGCTTCGCTCGTTTGCAAGCCATGATATCTCTCGAGGAAAAACTCAAATCTCAAAGCTATTTCTCTAGGAAAAACTAAAATCGCGCCGGCGCGTTCGTACTTCCTGTTCCTAGCTCGTTTTCTCATGGGTAGTGTTGTTTTTGGCGGCCTGTTTTAATTTTAGTTTTAGTCTAGTCTTTGTGTCAAGCTGTCATTTTAGTTTTTATTAGTTTTAGTCACGTTCATACTCTTTTTAGTCTAGTCTAGTTTTAGTCGACGAAAACTGATGACATTTTAGTCTAGTTTTAGTCGACGAAAGACATAGTCTAGTTTTAGTCAATGAAAATTGTATTTTAGTCTCTTTTTAGTAATGCAATTCTATTTAACCCAGTCAATATAGTATAATAGCCTACCTATAGTATAGACGAAACCAAAATTTTCTTTTAGCCAAACCCATTTCAAACAATCTTATCTTCTTATAGTTATCTTATTATATTATTGTTACCTTATAGACTCAAGAATACATCCATTCCAGACACGGAAGACGCTCTGATTTGAATTTACAACATATTTATTTTACCAACCAAACATATTAGAAGTAGCCTACACACATGATGAAATTAAAGTTTTAATTAAAGACTTAACTTTGTTTGTTGTCGTTTATGCTAACGCCTGTTTCACACATACTCCGTTTGCAGTGCGTATGTGGTGTGTACCTATTTTTCCCGTACCCATGTTAGAGCCTATGGTTAGAGCACTCACACCGCACGCGGATGCGGTCCGGCAATGCGCTCCAGGAGCGGTGCGTGCATAACAGCAGAGCAGAGATCTACACAGTACCTCAACAACGCGACATAATGGATGTAGGCTAAAAATATTGATTTGAAATAAAAATAGAGAATAAATGTTGTGATTGTGGTACAGCCGTAGATCAGTTGCGCACTGCAAACGCAACACACGTGAAAGCACAATAGTGCGTGCCGCTCCTGCATACACACCGTAACACGCACCGCATACGCACTACACACGGAGTAGGCTATGTGGGAAACTAGGGGTGGAACGGTACACAGAAGTCACGGTTCGGTTCATACCTCGGTTCAGACATCACGGTTCGGTACGATTTCGGTACAATGGAGGGAAAAGCAAAACAAAAATGCAGAAGGCATTGTATTTTTTAAATAAGTTTTATTAATAAAGGCATAGAACCAGTTTATTTGTAGTGCACTGACAATAGTTTTATATAATTCGTTTATTAATTAAATTAATAAAAAGACAAAAAGACCTTGCGATATGTTTGGTAATTGTACCTGAATTAATTTAAAATTAATTTGCTATATTTCAGATAAATATATTTGTTTTCCTTAATTTTAATTAACATTATTAATTAACAATGTAACATTATTCTCATCTGAATTATAAATAATTGATTTCTGTATAAAATAATATTACCATTAAAAACGCATTCGATTTTCTTTTTTAATCAATGTAGAATGTGTAAGATTAGTGCTCCGAGGACGATGAAAACCAATGCGATGAATGTCCAAAAGATGGGACCCACAGACTGTTTTGAAATGGAGTTGGATAAATATGTTTTGCTTTTAAAACAGTGTGTGTGAGAGAGAGAGAGAGAGAGTGAGAGAGTGAGAGAGTGAGAGAGTGAGAGAGTGAGAGAGTGAGAGTGAGAGTGAGAGTGAGAGTGAGAGTGAGAGAGAGAGAGATTTTGGTTGGGTGACAGTTGTAGGTTACAGTTTGACAAGAGTTTACAGTGTGACAAAAGCACAATGTTGTGTTTTATTGCGAGTGTACACAAATATAAGTAAACACTTTGCAGGTTTAATGATCTGTATGAACAAAATGACGGAGTATGTTTTTTATGTTTCCACTGTTCAATCGCGGCCGCGCCTCTCTCTCTCACACACAAACACACACACTCCAGCATTGCAATCTTGACATCGCAGCCTGTTCATTATGCGGTCACACCAAACGCGAATAGAGCGTTAAATTCGCGTCTATCGCGTCTATCGCGTCTAGTTCGACGCTAGTCCAAAGCGAATAGGACGCGCGTATAAAGCCAATGTTTGAAGTGAACGCGCGTTCAGAGCTAAGCCGATGGTACAGATTATGTGTCCCTAAAGAACCCGCGTATCTAACAGTAGTTCCGCATTACATTAATTAATTTTCACGCAAGTTTTATTTATTTTTATACCGTGTATTCTCCGTGTAAATTCGTGCACCGAACCGTGACGCCCGTACCGTTTCGGTTCGGTACGAATACATGTACCGTTCCACCCCTATGGGAAACAGCTGTAACTCACGCAGCTGCATCTTCTAAATAATGCCGTGAGTGGGGCTTGTGGATGTGAAGTCGCCTGCGTCTGCGCAGTGCGATCTGATGCAGCCCCTGAAGTGACACACGAAACAGAAATGCTGCATAATAATAATGCAAGTAAACGAGACGAAATAACGTTAAATAACATTTCGTCTCGTCTCGTTTTGGTCAACGAAAATGAAGAGACATTTTAGCATAGTTTTTGTAAACCACATTTAGTCTCGTTTTTATTCGTCAACAATATTGCATTATACATTTAGTTATAGTCATCGTCACATGACCAGCATTTACGTTGCGTCTCGTCTCGTTTTCGTCACGTGATAAAGGTTCGTTGACGACGATATTTAGTCATAATTTTCGTTGACGAAAGCAACACTACTCATGGGCGAGCCAAATTCTCTGGGCGGGCAAAGCAGAGAAGGGGGAGGTAACCTTTCCCCTATATGACGTCATGCGGAGGAGATTCAAGATCAGCTCGTCTGAGATCTCATTTTCTCACAGGCAGAGAAAGATAGCCAAAACTCGGTTTACACCGACTGAAATTTCTAGACACGAGGGGACCAAATACAGGCTAGGGGGACTAATATTAATGTTAAAAAAAAACAGAAAGTGAAAATTTCATGTCAGGGGACCTTTAAAGGCTAAATACAAAACACACTAAAATCGTTGTGACATTCACCGTCTTCCCTAATTTTATAACGGGAATAAAATAGTTGTGAATACGTTGTGAATTAGCCATATGGTACTGCTTCGGTGATTTACGCCCTGAGGTTTTAGGGGAAATATTGATTTTTCCTAAATGTATAATTCCCTTATTCTATGGGGAAAATGTGTCTTTAGCCGCTTTCCGACCGGAGGGACTTTTGCAGTTCCTAGAACCTAACGTTCCTATAACCCTTTTTTTCGCCTGTTCCGACCGGACTAAGTTGGGGATTTTTTAGTTCCTCAGACCGTAGTTCCTATAACTCTTTCAGTACCTAGTCTAGAGCGAGGACTTTTTTAGTTCCCTTTCCCTAGGTCTACGTTGATTGGTTCAACTTATAAGTCACGCCCACTGTCAACACATTTTCTTCACTGTTTGTTGCAATTCGCCTATGTATGCTATGCTAACTCATAACTTAAGACAAACATAACGCATTCAACCAGCTAATTGCTAATGCTTGCTAAACTTACCCGTCGTTTTGTTTGCCTCGTGCGCTCTGCTCTTCTATCTTCTTCCATCATATTACTTAAGATCATATTACGCTGGAGCCTTCGTCTTCTGTGTTTCTCTGTACAGAACTCAAGATCTTTAAACGCCGCCGTTCGTACTCGTTATTAAGGTCCCGGCAAGGCAGAACAGGAACATTCCGATAGCCTCCTCCACGCTGGTTTGTTGTTGTTGTATGTGGCGCCGCCGCCGCCGTGCTTGCGTCACTCCCTTACCCCTCCTACCAGTTCCTATGGCCACTTGGCCAGTGCGAACGCAAACAGCAAAACCGAGTTTGGGGGAGAGTAGTTCTTAGAACTGTTTAGAAGTGGACAGTTCCTATAACTAAGTTCCTGTAACTACTTGGTCGGAAAGCGGCTTTTTTCAGCCATTGTTGTCTTTTCCCTTGTAATTGCTGCTTTTTTTCAACCACCCCACCTTAATATGTCTTAATTATTATATTTGTGTAAATTCTTCTTTTTGTCCTGATAATAACGCTTGCTTTTTTTCTCTTTTACAGTGATCTTGTTTTGTATGGCCGCCCTCATATTCCCAATAGGATTCTACATCAATGAAGTAGGAGGACAACCGTACAAATTACCCAACAACACAGTGGTGGGCTCCTCTTATGTACTGTTCGTGCTCTCCATCTTCTTCACAATAGTGGGGCTCCTGTTTGCGGGAAAAGTCTGTCTTCCTGGCTGAGGGGACGGTCCCAGCTGGGACAGCTGGGGTGTTCAATGTGAAACGGAAAGAAACGGCACTCATCGAGAAGGGGCGACGACAGGGGGATGGTGTTATATGATATAATAACTCATTAAACTGCAAAACTAATAAGACGATTACTGCACGCACTACATTCGAGTGCGTCCGACCACATGCTCCCCTTCGCCCAACCTGTGCTTAGTTAAACCTGTGCTGTCTTTATGTTGCACCTTTGAGTTTCAAAGGATTGGGGGCGTTGAAGTACACGGGCCCGTCTGGAAAGGACTGAGTGCATCCACAGCGCCTGCTTCCAGTACTACCGTACTTTACTTTGGGATATAGTTCCGTTATCTTTGGTTCGTTTAAGTTTCGTAGAGCTTCACGCACATGTATGCCCTCTGCCTTTGTGCGGAAAAAAATGACAAAAAGTGGTGGAGAATGCGGGCACAGACACATTGGGCCGGACATCAGTCCAACGGGAGGGGTCCCAATGGGACTCCCCACATTCTCTCTGGCGGCCCAAGAGCTCTCCAGGACGCTGCACTGTTACAAAAGAGGGAAAACGGTAAAAGGGAACAGTATTAAGAACATTTTTGCTCTGGCACTACTCGAGGCAAGCGCTCCAGGACTGCCGGTCAGGACCCTGCAAGGCTGTGCCTCGCTGTTAAACCACGCTCCGATATTTCTCTGAATCTGACGTCATACCAAAAGAAACTCCCGCCTGTCCTCGCTCGACTACGGGGCGAGTTCTGTTGAGTCACAGGCGGATTGTGTTTGTGCTTTGACTTTATACCGGTTCATCTCTTCTTTGTTTTGATCTCTGGATTTGCAGAGCCCTTTTGGATTTGCAGAGCCCTTTGTTTCGGTTTGATTTTCGAATGTGCCATAAACCTGTTTGTGTTGTATGAATGCTAAGGGCATGAGTTCAGTTTCAGAGGAGCACTGTGCGGTATAGCCATTTCAGTAGGTGAAGCACTACAAAAACAAACTCCTTACCTCATTATTTTGCGATATTTTTTTTATTTTATTTTTTATTTTATTTTCTCACCATGACGAAATGTGTGCCCTGTAAGTTATGTTCTGCCTTGATCACGGACGTTTCATTAAAATGCTGCGATTTATTTATCTGACTCTGAATAAGAAAGTTTGCTTGTTACATCAACCCTGTTTTTTGTTCTGTTTTTGAAGCGCTCCCCGTTTTTGGAAAGCAAATGTACCGTGTAAGAGTGTCTTTACAGTGGAACGAAATCAGAACTGTGTTTTATTTATGATGGATGTGTGATATGAAGGTTACATTTTGCCCACAAGTTGTTATTGTTGTTTGTTTTTTTATGAATTCTCCTCTTAGTGTGTGTTTCGGTTTTATTTGAATGTGCTTTTCTGTTCAATCCATTTATTGGAAGGTCATATGCTCACAGTCGCCTTTACATTCTTTACTAAATTAATTTCATTAATGCTTCGAAAGACTGCACTCTCATTGGAAACATTCATATTCATTGTAGGGATGGTAAACAGATGAGATATATTTATTCCAATTTTAGACGGTTCTCGTAAATATATGGGGTAAGGAGTTAAACTCTTGGATTGAAGAATTGATAAAAGTGTTTATAAGATAAACTCCCACCTGCATTCAGGCAAGATGTGTACAATTGCTTTTGGCAAAAGACGTATCGCACTGGGACCTAAATTAATGTGAACTGCGAGAACGACGGTGGACGCCATCACCTCCGCGCTAAAGACTGCTTCTGCTCTGGATATTTTTGGAAACCCATTATAAAATGGAGAAGAAAAAAAAAAAGTATGGGGTAATGACCATCAATGACATATAGGGTAATGAAAAGCTATTTATGATTTCAAAAGGGAAGGAAACAAATGTATGAGTAACAGTATTATCTATCAAAGGATGGTAGCAGTCCTTGTGCACAGTTACTGTTAACACATTCATGTTACTGGCAAGACAACTGTTTTCTCTGCTACTCCTTGTTTCAGTATCTCACTGTATACAATAAAAGGCATAAAAGAAGGTCGACTGCTTGAGTTCAATTTAGCATTGCTTTATTGGGAATCCAGTTGTAACTATTGCTCTACTTTCTGTCCCTATGGCGGAAAATCAGCTAACTTTGCATGCGTGAAGAGTCTGTGGCTAATTGCGTTTAGAGTCATTTTTGCAAGCATTGGATGTATGGTTGCCTAGCAACAAGCCATTACATTTGCAATATTTAAAACATCAGCCCGCTACCCTTTTTGAGCTTCTCACTGCAGACTCCCTTTGCTCATGGACACGGGTTTTTCAGTATGTGACATTTAAGTCAAACCTATTAAAAAAGTTATATTCCCAGGAACTGCCATCAAATAACCTCATTTTTTAAAAACTTTTGCAAGTTTGGGAAATTGAAATGGGTTTGTTAAATTCAAATTTGAGAATGCAATGTTAAAGGGCGCTCTGTTTCAGGTTGGCTGACAGGTCCTGGTCTAATTTAACACATGGGTCATCCCTCATATACTACATTGTTATATCCCATGGGTTTTAGTTTAAATTTATGTTAATAACTAAATATGAACACCCTAGCAACATCATAGCAACACCTTATCAACCACCCACAGCATCGTAGCAACCAATGAGAAAAAAAAAAAGAAAACTATATACACGAAAACAAACAAAACTAATAAAAAATAACACAAGCTAAAAATTACTAATAACTAAATTTAAAATGAAAAAATATAAAAATGAAAACTAATTCAAATTATTAATAAATTATCAATTTCGTTAAATTGAAACTGAATTATATTAATCATGATTCTTTTTTATTCACATCCCTATTGTTTAACATCAAGAAATAAGCAAACTTGCATACAGGCAGGGCTTTAATTAACCCTTGCCAAGCACCAGATTTGTATAAAAATCTGCGTTTATATGAAACGCTGTCATTCGTATTTTTATGAATTCTACAAATGCGATGTAGTTAAAACATGAATGTGAACAGACGTGAACGACCTCTCATGTCTTCTTGCACCTGAAAATGCCCGTATTGGTGAGCGTCCTTGTTTCTTAAGTGAACATAAACAGAGTATCAGTATATTGGAAGGAACTGTGCATTATTAGCTCTTAAAGTGACAGCAGTCTAATGTATACCTGCTGCAGTCTTGTCATTTATGTTAATTAAACAACGAAAGACAAAGAGAAATTCACTCGCTGCTCTTGACAGAATAACTTTCATAACTTTAGTACAGATTTAATTTATACAGTGAAGACTATGCAGTGTTATTTTACATTTGATTGCTTTATTCAATTTCTGTACCTAAAAATTGTGAATTTTCTGGTGTCTGGTATCTAATATTTTGGTGTCATAATTGCCTGTTTTTACAACAACAAAAAAGTTACATGGCATGTAATAAATCTATATATATATTATGGCCTGTATATTTTCTTAAATCAGTGGCCATTATTACCATGTGTGGCAAAAGGTTAGTTTTAGGTTATTTGTGCTTATATACCATACATGTGTCCACGAATATTTATTTATTTGACAGCAGATATTCACATACATGGGTTGTTGTTGGGTGTTATGCAGGTGCTATAGGTTCGTATGATGGGAAGTCCGAATCTTTTCCGCAAACTGGTTCTTAAGGACAGTTCGTTTCAATTAACCGGTTAAAAAAAACGATTAACAATTTCTTTGTGTTCATAATCACACAAGGACGTCACATATACCCAATTATATTATTAAAGCACCCAATAATGACCTGAAACGCGGATGTTTTACAGAAGCATACTGTCAAACTTTGAACTGGTTTAGCCAGTTTACTAAAAAGAACCGTTCGCGAACTGAACATCAGTCTGGGTCACTGGCTCCAGTGATAAAGTGCCATCCGTGTTGATGTCTACATAATATCATATCTTAATTATTAGCAAACTGTAGCACTGATCATGAATATGTCAACATGAGCTCGTGAGCTGCACTCGTGCTGAATGGCTCAGTGTGTTGCTATGGAGACGCCTAACACAGCAGCTGTCAGTCACGGATGAGTTTCAGCCGCACAAGGACGTTTACTGATTTCTGCGCGAGGATCATATTAATACTGTACGCGCGCGAGCTTCTGAACAAACTCCATCACGTGAAGGTAAACATTATTAATAAGCTCGCGACACCTCACCATGATTATACCATTACTGCATGCTTGGGTCGTTGCTACGGTAAAATCACAAAACAGTAATGTAGAATTTCCTTTCAGGATCTTTCTTTCTTTAATTAACATAGGCCTATTAAAATGCATGAGATGGAGATATTAGCGTCGTGATAAAACTGTTACTAATAACAATAATAATACCGGTTAACCTAATGCTAGTATAGGCTACGGCACTTAAAAAAAAAAAAAAGGTAGATTTTGTTAATGTTTTTTTTTTAAAACCTACAGTAAAATTGTGAATATCAATAATCAAAATAACTGTTTTCTGTATTTTATAATGCAATTTATTCCTGTGATCAAAAGCTGAATTTTCAGCATCAATTACTCCAGTCTTCAGTGTCACATGCTCCTTCAGAAATCACTCTAATATGATGATTTGCTGCTGAAGAAAACTTTATTTATTCTTTTTTTTTTTTTTTTTTTTTTTTGGATTCCTCGATGACTAAAAGTAAAAAAAAAAAAAAAAAAGCATTTATTTGAAATAGAAATATTTTTCAACATTAGAAACAAATGAACTAAGCAGTTATTAGAGTTAGTCCTCAGAGAGTTAATCAGTGTTCATCACTTTACTGTTATTATCTCACAGAGAGCCTGTGATCTCCGTATGGAGCAGAAGAAGACGGGACCGCTCGAGTGGTGAACGCATACAACAGATCCAGCTATTATGTTCATCTGTGCGTGATATGCAGATTATAACGAGACATTTTTCCCTGTCTTATTGACATGGTCTTTAGGGCAGAGAGCAGTGAGTCTCACATGGAGACGAGTGATCAGTCCACCATCTTCAGACTAAACCAAACTTCAGATGTACTGGTGACTTCATTACTATAATGCAGTTATTACCTTAATGCATCAAGGTGTATGAGTGATGAAGCTGTTGTTGCAGGATCGCAGTGAAGTGTACGCGAGCTCAGAGCGATGGCTGGAGGACTGTGGACTGACTGTCTCTCGCCCCTTCTCTCTCTGCAACACTCGTCCTGTGTGAGTTTACTACTGACTCTTACACACACCGTCTACACGCTCCTATTATAACTAACTGAGCTAAGGTACAGTCAAACCAAACATTATTCAGACACCAGATATCATTTTTAATATATTTTTTTCTAGTGTGTGCAGGACAGTATAGTTCATTTATGTAAGTGAGGAGAGCAAAATAAAGTAAACTGTGACATATATTATACCCAATAACTCTTCATACAGTGACTACAGTAACATTTGTACAAATTTGGGACCAATAATTATTCCCGACAGATCACAGATTTGTGGGTTTTTTGGCACCGGTTATGCCATCAAAAACGAATTCCCCACACAATATCGGTTCAGCAATCGTTTCGAACATGTGAATTAGTTCGGGTTTTAGAAACCAGGTGGTAGAATTGTAATTACCTGCTGTTCTCAAAACAAGGACACATTATGCTTATTCTTATGGAAATATAAACCATGCTTTCGGATCTGATACACATCACTAATACAGATAATAAACATACCATTATTTGACAGAGTTTCAGGTAACAATGTGTGGCCTCGTTTTTACAGTGAGAAAAGCATAACCTTGTGAAAAGAAGTGCGCTTAGTTGAATTGAATGTGCACTTGTAGAGCATTTAAAAAGTATATTTTACTTGCATATAATATAATATTCATGCAATTAAGTGTACTTAAAGAGAGTACACTTTTTATGATTTAACACACTTAAGTACACTTTTAAAAAAGTGCACTGCAATAGTCAAATAAAAGAATAAAAGAAAACGTTAAAGTACATTTTAAATCATCATCTTTTAATAATCTTTTGTCGTGCTTTAATGTACACTTATTTTGATGTGTTGACTGACATACTAAAAGCACATACTTGATTTTTTAACTATACTCCTATTTTATGTTAAAGTCCCCATGAAATCAAAATTGAAGTCGTAATGGCTTTTAGTATGAATAGGTTAGCCTTTCTGTTATCTACAAAACAATGACAGCATTCGCATTTAGGAGATATAAGCGTTCAAAACTAACAGTCTCTCACTTCCGCCAATATTGATCAATGGTTTTGATGACATCACTGCACCTCAGCTTCTCATCAGATATTTTCTGTCCAATCAAATGCTCTCTAGAATCTGAAGCTCCGCCCCCTAAATTATAAATAGACGCTGAATCTGCAGCTGAAGTCAGTCACTTGTTCTCACATTTGCTGTTTTCTATATGGTGAATGGCACAGGGCACTATAGGGAATGATTCCGAGTCAGTGTAAATATGCTTTCCATCGGGGAGTAAGAAGTCTGGTTTTTACATAACTAATAATTAGACACTGCGTTAGAAACAGCACTTTACACACTTTTTAAACTACATACTGTCTCTTTAGCATGATTAAGCTCACTGAGCTCATTGGCTCTGACTGAGCTGTGATGTAAACAAAACGCTATTGGCTATTTAAAAAAGGGGAGGAGCTGTGCAATATGCCCCGCCCTGTCTTCCTGTTTCAGTGGAAATGACATCAGCACATTGAATAATGCTGCGTGTTTCAAGGCACTTCAGACAGTGGGCCTTTAAATAGTTGATTTTGAATGTACTAAATTGCAACTTTATCTCATTATTTCCCGTGTTTCTTGGTTACCAAGTATGTTTTCTTTGGTTGTCATGCCTACTCATTGACACCTGATCCTTGTTCACTCTTGCACTCAGTTCAGTTTGCTCATTGTCTGGTGTTGTTAACTGTGCTCTAGCACACTGTTTCCGTTGACTGATTACTCTTTTGTTTTGTTTAATAAAGTTTATGCTGCTATTCGATCTGCTTTATTCGGTCTTCTTCCTCGTCCTGAACGTGACAATTATGAAATTACATAATAAATATGTACTTTGGTACTTAAGTCTTATATAAGTGGGTCATTAATGCTCTTATGTTTTCATGTGTAAAGACTTGGGAGCCAAAAAAATTTGAATTATGACTCTTTCAAACCTTAAATTGTTCTCTCTCTCTCTCTCTCTCTCTCTCTCTCAGATCTGAAAGAGGAGATGTGCTGAGCAAACAGATGCACGTCAGCAGCGAGTCACTGGCTGACTTTGAGGAACAGCTTTACATGTGAGAATAATCTCCACTACTTGTGTACAGTCGCCATGATGATGCTTTATCATTCTCTGAACATGCTATTTATATGCTATATAGCCCTATCAAAATGTGGAATTAATTGCATTATATGAGAAAATACATTAGAGTATATGATACAGATTAAATAATGTAACAATAATTGTTTTGTGGGGGCAAACAGACAAGTGAAGCATTGCATTGACAGAAAGTGACTTTAGAAGTCAATATATTATAAGTTTTATTACAAAATTGATAAATCAAGGGTTATGATTAAATGTGTTAATCTTATAACACATTTTTTTTTTAATATGATAAACTAAATTAACCTGACAGCCCAAGTATTAATTTGAACAGAGTGTCTATTTATACCTTGTTGGCAGAGGCTATTTACACTAACTCCGCCCACTTTTGCAACCAAAGATTACAAAAGACACCTGTCTGATAACTGGATCGGTGGTGGGAGGCATTAAAGGGATAGTTCACACAAAAATAAAAAAAATCTGTTATCATTCACTCACCTTCAAGTTGTTCCAAACCTGTATGACTGTGTAGGGGAGGGCTTTAGGCATGTGGACTACAATACACTGAGGTACAAATGGTATAAATAGCAACTTCTATCTACACTTAGTGCAAAGAAAATTCTGCTGTTTGCAAATAGCCTCTGCCTAATATGAATCTGATGGTTGCCCAGCCAGCACAGCCATGTGGGGCCCACATGGGTTCGACGTGGGCTATCTAACTGGGACCCAGCCAGTTTTGCTCCCGGTTTCCATGTAGGCCCCACATGGGTTTGCCCAGATGAAATGAACACTGCTCAGTGTGCACACTACAGGCTGTTAAATGTAACACTGATCAGTGTTGGAGTTAATGAGATAATTAAGTGATTGAATATGATTGAGCATTATTGAAGACACCTAAAGCAGAATCACTGAAGGAGAAAATTGTAAGCCACCGTTATGGCGATCTTTGTTTGCTTTAGTTGGGCTCTTGACCCATATATTATTAACTTTAGATTTTGTTTGGCTGTTGTTTCTGACTTATAACTGCCAGATGAACAAAAAAAAAAAGTGATGTAATGGTGTTGGTTATATTATGACAGTCATCGTTTGAACCTTATGTTTAGTGATTTATGCTGTTGGTTATAGCGTAACTGTGATTCTGCATACATTTCCAGAATTTTAGATATAATATAAAGGATTTCTTAAAAGTTATTTAAAAAAAAAAACGTTCTTTTAGGCACACACAGACGTCAAGATTCAGTCAATGCATCTCAACAATGGTGACGAGCAGAATATTCAACTAGGAAAAGTAAATTACATAGACAATTCAGATCATAATTTATTCATACCGCAATGCATGATGGGAGCCATTAATGAGTTGTGATTGGTGGCAGCCACTGCAACATGCATTATTATTGTCACCATTGTTGAGATTCACAGACTGATTATTGATGTGTTTCTAAATAATTTTATTTGAAAGTGTTTTGATCAGAACAATGTTTATGAAATATTTTGGATAAAAAAATTACTGATAATCATTTGCTGTAGAATCACAAAGCTGTTGCTAACAAGTTAAACCAGATAATCTCAATAAGTTTCATTTTTCAGATCACAGCATGATTATGTTCAAACCATGACTGTCATAATATAACCAACACCATTACATGACTTTTTTTTTTGTTCATCTGGCAGTTATAAGTCAGAAACAACAGCCAAACAAAATCTAAAGTTAATAATATAAGGGTCAAGAGCCCAACTAAAGCAAACAATGATCGCCATAACGGTGGCTTACAATTTTCTCCTTCAGTGATTCTGCTTTAGGTGTCTTCAATAATGCTCAATCATATTCAATCACTTAATTATCTCATTAACTCCAACACTGATCAGTGTTACATTTAACAGCCTGTAGTGTGCACACTGAGCAGTGTTCATTTTATCTGGGCAAACCCATGTGGGGCCTACATGGAAACCGGGAGCAAAACTGTCTGGGTCCCAGTTAGATAGCCCACGTCAAACCCATGTGGGCCCCACATGGCTGTGCTGGCTGGGTGATGGCTTCGCTAGTGTTAAATTCAGATGTTTTGATCTGTTTTTTTCTTCTGTAGTGCCATTGAGATGTACCACGACCGAATTAAGTGGCTCAGTCAAGGAAACCGAAAGGTAACCTGGATCTCTGGGATCTCTTCACTGCATGAATCTGGTTCAGGCAGATGAGCTTTGGTACCCAGTGTTGGTTTGGTTTGATCTGTCAGGTGTTCGGGGTGGTGAACGGATCCCGAGTCGGAGTGCTTGTCGACACATCTGATTTCAACGCCTCTACAGAGAGACTCGGAGATCTACAGCGAGAGCTCTTAGTAGGGTCCCAACATGCTTCATACTTTATTTAGCTAATTGAATCAATTACACGGCTCATTTTTTTGTGTATTTTCTTCTTACTTGCTCATGTTACACCATCAAAGACTCTCATTGAGGAGCAACTTTGCTTCAAAAACCAGCTGTATCTACTGTCCTACAGCTCGGAGGTCAGCAGCCTTTGGGACAAACCACTAGATATCAGCCCACTAAGGTGAGAGAGACTGTTAAGGTGAGAATATTATCCGTTTGTCTCATTTGCAGTGTTATTTTCATGATTCATACGGACAGTGATCCTGTAAGCCGCCCCCTTTGGGTTGTAGAAACAGCTCTGCCTGGCCATTATTTTAATTAGTTTCTGTTTAGAGTGACTCCTTGTTTTATTTTAGGTTGTCATGAGGGATGAGTGGGGACATGTGAGAACAGTTTGTACTTGTATTAGATGCCAAGAAATCACTAGAGAGGAGGGGATGGAAGGACAAGAGAGAGAGAACCGGGAGATGAGATAATGAGAGAAGAGGATAAAGGCCACGGTTCCGACACAAATTAAAACTGATTTTGGCCTCTCGTCATACAAAATGAATCATTCTTCAAGACATTTGTATTTGAAACATGGTGATGATAATGAAATGAGACACTCATAGGCAACAGCCTAACTGAAACAGAACGTCATTTGGCTTATTTGAAACACTCACACACGCAGCAACTCAACACAAATAGGGAGACTGACCTTACAGTGTATTTAAAAAGAGTTTACATTAGCGTGTGTTGCTAAGTCTGAGGTGTAATTGTAGATATCCACACTTCAACACATCCACTATCTTTATCATCACTCTGACTAACTTCCCAGCATTTGTTTAGCCATAGTTGTAAGAAACACAGATGAGTCTCTGATGAGTTTGAACCAATAATCATTTTTATTTACAATATGCATCTAACTTTATTAATAAACCTAATCCTGTGAGAATCAGCTGCTAAAGACTCATGCAGATATAGATATTCATAGGCTACAAATGAATAAGTTGCAGACGCATTCATCTTGCTCTCGAGTGTTCACAGAACAACTTTGATTGTGTCTTTGTGTCTTTAGTAAATCCTGACATTCGTTTTTAACGACAAAAGAGGTTTTGCGCTTACGCAAGATGTTAGTAAATCTGGCCCTATGTTTCCACAAAGGATGTATGCCATGCTTCCTTAGAATATGACATCTAAAATAAGACATATTGTGCAGCATAATTAAGATACCTACCTTTTGAGCAGCTTTCATGCGGGGAGCTCGTCCATGACTCCTGCGGAGGCAGATCATTACACAGCAAATTCCCCAGTGTTAAATTAACACCCCTCAGTGTTCGTATGTGTGCACACTACAGAGTGTTTAATCAACACTGAAGCAGCATTGTAGTTAATTAGAAAATTAAGTGATGGTTGAGCATTAGTGTTAACAAGGATGTGACGGTGAGGAAATTTTTCCCACCTGTAATCGGCGTGTGACAACACCAGAAATACCGATATCACTGTCGGGGATGGGAGGAGTTTTCCCCTCTTTTGCACCTCGCTTTTAAATCACCAATTTGAAAGCGAAAGTAAAATGTGCACGTCCACACTGGCATTCACAACGGTGCGGAGCAGAGCGAGCGTTTTCAATAAATTCCTATGAAAGTTAGGCTTTCATAATGAAGTGAAAACGCTCGCTCTGCGCCAGTCGACAAGCACCGTTATGAGTACTCGTGCGGCAGTGTGCATTTTACTTTCGCTTTCAAATTAGCTTAAATAGGCGCTTTTACATTTCGCTTTGGAACCAAATCTTCCCTCATCGTCTTGTCAGTCACGAGTGAGGTGAAATCTGACTCCTGCAAATTATCTGTGCTGCGACTCTTGTTCGACTCACGCTGCATTGAGCAGACACGTTCAGTTTTTAACTGTAGTGTCTGTTCTTTAACTGAACTAAATTAGTTTTATTACTGTAAAAATCTAAACAATGGTGGGGATTGGCAAGTGATGGAACCGGTGTTGCGGCTGTACACCGGGCGGTAACACAGGCATCACTGACTATTGCAGCAAGCATAATTAGTGATGAACACCTGTTGTTGACAAGCAGAATCACTGAAGGAAAGAGGAACAACAAGAACAGAAAAAAGAGATGAGACCAGAAGAAATACAACTGACTTCCAGCCATTACACATTATTACACTTATTACTAACATTAACATTCATCTACAAAAGTTGTTATTGAGAATTAACTTAGGTTTAGATGTTGATGTTTTTTTTAATGTTTCTTCTTAAGTCATCAATATGGTGACCAGTGTTTGCTTTTGTTGGACTCTTTTCTTTTTAACCTTAGTTTTTATTTAGCTGTTGCAACTTTGTGTTTATACAGTAAAGCACATTTGTAATAGCAAACAAAAATATGATCACAAACATTATAATGGATGTGAAATTTTAATATTGATGATTGTAGTCCATCAGCTATAAGCTGAACTATTTCATAAATACATTGTGCATGGAAACTACTGCATCATGTAGGCCTAGACATACACGGACATCACGAATCGGCATACGAATCTCAACATGACAAACCGATCAACTCTGAACATCTCAAAACAAGCTAATAAATCCACAACAAAACAACAGCAAAATTAAACCACATAGTATGAGTTAATGAAAATAATAGGACTATTTATTCACGCCACAAAACATGCTGGGATGAGTTTTGATTGGTGACTCTCAGCATGCATTACAATATGAAGCATTTTTTGTTTGATTTTCTCCATTGTTGAGTAAAAAAACCCAAAAAACTTTTAGATTAACAGCACTGCTGGATCACAAGCTGTAGCATTACAGGACTACTATAATGAAAAATTGATAAAACGTCACCTATGTAATCAGTTATTAAATGTTGGATGAGTTCAATGAATCAGGTTACTACATGATGACTATAATATCATTAGTACATATCATTAGTACATAGACAACATCACATGACCACATTTTCTCTTGAGTTTTGTTTGCAACAACAAATCTGCTTTATAAAGTTGCAGCAGCCAGAAAAAAAAAATAATGTTAAAAGTAAAGGTTCTGAAAGAGCCCGACCAAATCACACACTGATCACCATATTGGTGACTTCAAACAAAACTATTATTTTCAATAAAGCATCAACACCTAAACCTCTGAAAACCTCTCAATAAGAACTTTTGTAGATGTATGACAGAAATAAAGTCAAACTGGTTAATACTAAGTGCAATAATGTGTAATGGCTGGAAGTCAGTTGCTGTTGTGTTTCTGCTCGTCTTTCCTTCAGTGATTCTGCTTATTAACAGACGGTGTTCGTCACTAATGCTCAATCATCACTTAATTAATTGCAATCATCTCATTAACTTCAACACTGCTTCAGTGTTATTTTAACACTGAAGTGTGGACACATGAGAAGTGCTAATAACACTGGGTGTTTTGCAAATTCAGCTATATTATCACTTTTGTTTTGATACACATAAAGAATGTGAATGAAAGTCTGCAGCAGGAGGCTCTTTCTTAATGTCCCGTCCTGTCTCAGGCTCAGGGAGTGTTATGCGTGGGTCATGCAGCTTCGTGCGAGTGGAGGCTGTGATCTCCTACAAGCGATACAGAGGGCACTGACCCACTCACAGCTGGACACGCTGCTCATCATCCAGGGCGATCGGTGAGAGTATATTTTGCTATGATGAATCACTCTTACTTAACTGAAGCCTGCAGTCATTTCATTTCCTTTGACCTTTAGACATATTTGCAGTCCATTGTCCCGAAATAGTTTGAGTTCTATAATTGGTCTTATCTGAGGAGAAGGTTTTAAAATAGCAGTCAAGGCCTATTTCCTCTCCCAGTAAAATACACTGAAACAGCAGGGCAATGGAAGTAAAGATCCTTTTCACTTTCTCCATAGAGAATTGGATGTTAAGTGATAACATAAGCCTTTTTTCCACCGTTGGGCCATAACAAGTGGAAATATAACTGGAACTATTTCTTACCGTTCTTAGAACTGGCATAGTAGACACCACAACAGACTGGGCCACCTGACCAATCATACCAGAGTAGACCAATCACACCAGACTGGACCGTCTGACCAATCATACCAGAATAGACCAATCACAACAGACTGGACCATCTGACCAATCATACCAGAGTAGACCAATCACAACAGACTGGACCACCTGACCAATCATACCAGAATAGACCAATCACAACAGACTGGACCGTCTGACCAATCATATCAGAATAGACCAATCACAACAGACTGGACCGTCTGACCAATCATATCAGAATAGACCAATCACAACAGACTGGACCATCTGACCAATCATACCAGAGTAGACCAATCACAACCGACTGGACCACCTGACCAATCATACCAGAATAGACCAATCACAACAGACTGGACCGTCTGACCAATCATACCAGAATAGACCAATCACACCAGACTGGACCGTCTGACCAATCATACCAGAATAGACCGATCACAACAGACTGGACCATCTGACCAATCATACCAGAATAGACCAATCACAACAGACTGGACCGTCTGACCAATCATACCAGAATAGACCAATCTCAACAGACTGGGGTATCTGACCAATCAGAGCAAAGTAGACCAATCAAAACAGACTGAGCCATCTGACCAATCATACCAGAATAGACCAATCACACCAGACTGGACCGTCTGACCAATCATACCAGAATAGACCAATCACAACAGACTGGACCATCTGACCAATCATACCAGAGTAGACCAATCACAACAGACTGGACCATCTGACCAATCATACCAGAGTAGACCAATCACAACAGACTGGACCACCTGACCAATCATACCAGAATAGACCAATCACAACAGACTGGACCGTCTGACCAATCATACCAGAATAGACCAATCACAACAGACTGGACCGTCTGACCAATCATACCAGAATAGACCAATCACAACAGACTGGACCGTCTGACCAATCATACCAGAACAGACCAATCACAACAGACTGGACCATCTGACCAATCATCTCAGAATAGACCAATCACAACAGACTGGACCATCTGACCAATCATACCAGAATAGACCAATCACAACAGACTGGACCGTCTGACCAATCATCTCAGAATAGACCTGTTACGTCCTCAGATGACATAGAGGTATGAGGAGGACGTAAGTTAATTCAACGCATTCTCATCCTTTGGCGTCATATAGGTGACGCCATATGACATTTCGTCGAAATCTTACGCACATGGCATCCTTTAGCGTCAATATAACACGCACTGTTATGGGTAGGTTTAGGTCTGGGGTCGGGTTACGGTTATGACGCCTTGAGATCTGCGTCTCATATTCACGCTAAACGATGCCATGTGCGTTGGATTTACACGCGCGTCACCTGTATGACGCCTTGGGATCTGCGTCTCATATTGATGCTAAAGGATGCCATGTGCGTAAGATTTCAACGAAATGTACAAGCGTCACATGTATGACGCCAAAGGATGAGAACGGGCTGGTTAATTAATAAAATTGAAAACAGACTCCTATAGTTTTGATCTCTGGGGAATAAACTACTGTGGGTGAATGACACCAAGACAACAAATTACTGCAAGCAGGTGGTTCGCTTTATTTCCAACACGAACGTTATAGTTTACATGAATAAAAACAAACAAACAAACTTAACAGCTATAGACACAAAAACATTGAAAAATAAGAATTGAAATAAGCCACAGAGAGAAAGAAAATGAGCGGTGCTAAACAAACAAAATAACAAAACCAAAACACACTAACTTAGCCCCACTCTCTAAACTCACTGAAAACAAAACCAGAAAATAAAGAATTCTTCAGCGCTTAACACGCCATAACTAAAACTTCACTAACTACCCAAACAAAAATTACACAGTTGCACACGCTCCTTCCCTAGTGTGTCTAACAAGTATAACCCTACGTGCATGTAAGATGTAGGTCACGTGACGTACTTTCCTTTCCTCTGCTCTCCGGGCTGGTGCAGACAAAAAGTCCTCTAGTAAGAAAACACAATCAAATAAGGACGCAAGCGAACCACCACAAAGTCAGTATTTCTCAACAACAGTAGCATGAGCCAACAAACACTCCAAAAGCTCCTCCTCTTCCGATCTTCGGAGTGCCTTAAATCCTGAACCACAGCCGATGATTGGTGGTCTCCGACCAATAGCAGCACCTACAAACTCAAGGACAGCAGAGAGCGGGAAAACAGAAAGAAACCAACAGCAGAAGGGAGAAAATGCAGCAACCAATAAAGTAACGGGGAGGGACAAAAATGCTAGCACGTAACACCCGCACCCTTAAAATTAAACCTTATACATATAATGGTTTATAACGTACACAAAACAACCCCTCACACGAGTTATGCTCTAGAAAGGGCATCCGCAACCACATTATCCACTCCCTTTTTGTGCCGAATCTCAATATTATAATTTTGAACTACAAGAGCCCATCGCATTAGCCTTTGGTTTTGGTTGTACATTCGACACAGGAATGTAAGAGGGTTGTGATCGGTGTACACAACTACAGGATATGAAGTCGACCCAACATATACTTTGAAATGCTGCAATGAAAACAACAAAGCCAAAGCCTCTTTCTCAATTGTAGAGTAGTTACATTGATGTTTGTTAAATTTCTTAGAAAAAAAACAAACTGGGTGCTCAATTCCTTCCTCGTCCTCCTGTAACAACACAGCGCCAGCTCCAACTGCGCTTGCATCCACCTCTATCTTAAAGGGTACAGAAAAATTAGGGGCAGACAACACAGGAGAGCTACATAACAAATGCTTAACGGTTTCAAAAGCACACTGACTCTCAGCTGACCAAATGAATTCTTTTGCGGGGCTGAGCAAGTCTGTCAGGGATTTTGCAACAGAAGAAAAGTTCTTACAAAAACGTCTGTAATACCCTGTCATTCCTAGGAATCTTCTTAACTCACGACGTGTAGTAGGCGCAGGGAATTCTTTAATAGCATCAACCTTGGCCTCTATGGGACGAACTTGACCTTTCCCCACTTGCTTACCCAAGTATGTTACAGTCGCTTTACAGAACTCACACTTAGCCAAATTCAAAGTTAATGAAGCATCAGCAAGTCATTGGAATACCATAGTCAACACTGACATGTGTTCAGGCCAAGTAGAAGTATAGACAACCAGATTGTCTAAATATGAACTACAATTAGGTACATTTGACAACACTGTATTCACTAACCTCTGAAAAGTCGCAGGCGCATTTCTGAGGCCAAACGCCATAACATTATATTGTAGGAACGAGTCTGGCGTAACAAAAGCAGATATGTCGGATGTCCTAGGTGTCAAAGGCACCTGCCAATAACCTTTGAGCATATCAAGCTTTGTGACAAATTTAGCAGAACCCACATTGTCAATGCAGTCCTCCATCCTTGGCAATGGGAAACAATCTGGTACTGTTACAGAATTCACTCTACGAAAATCGGTACAAAATCGAAACTGTTCCATCAGCTTTTGGAACCAGAATACATGGAGAGCTCCACGGACTCACGCTGGGCTTTGCAAGATCCTCCTGTAACAAATACTCAACCTCTTTCCTCATTGCAGCCCTCTTTACAGCATTCATCCGATAAGGATGCTGCTTAATGGGAACGGCATCGCGAACATTAATGTCATGATAAAGCACATCAGTTTGCTTAGGTACATCCCCAAAAATCTGAGGAAAACTTTCAATCAGTGTTACAATATCCACACGCTGATCCTCTGTCAAATGACAAAGCAACTTGGAGGGGTCAGCTAAAATCTTAGAATTAGACAATGGTGTAAAAAGCAACGGGTCAACCTTTTGTCTCACCTCATCAGCATCAAACTCAGCATCACCAGGAAATGATGGTTCTGTCTTACAACTCACGGCAACAGATGAAATCACGGGCCCTGTGTTCTCCTCTGAACAATGAGATGCTTCCTTCCTGGAATGGTAAGCTTTGAGCATATTAATGTGACACACGTTTCTGCCTCTTACGATCAGGTGTTTTGATGATGTAGTTCGTGTCATTTTGTTTACCTACTACCTCGTAAGGACCAACAAAACGTGCAGACAATGCAGACCCCATAATTGGTAACAACACGAGCACCTTATCACCAACTGAAAATGATCGTGACACTGCTGCTTTGTCAAAATGTTGTTTCATGCTAGACTGAGCTTCGGAAAGAGCTTCTTTGGCACGAGCACAGGCTTCCTGTACTCTTTCACGAAAACAAGCCACATAGTCAAGAATGTTCTTTGGAGGAGTTAAACATCCAGACCAAGCATCTGCTCCTTAAGAACTTTCAGTGGTCCTCGGACACTATGTCCGAACACAAGTTCAGTTGGACTGAACCGTAAAGACTCCTGAGTGATTTCACGAACAGCAAAAAGGACAAGTGGTACTCCCTCATCCCACTCATTCCCCGTCTCACAACAATATTTCTTCAACATGGCCTTAAGTGTTTGGTGGAATCTCTCGAGCACACCTTGACTCTCAGGATGGTAAGGACTAGAGGTGCGGTGACGAACACCCAGTGAACACAAAGTTTGTGTGAACAACTTGGACATAAAATTTGTGCCTTGATCTGTTTGTACTATCTTAGGCAGACCAAAGGTAGAAAAGAATTTGACTAATGCCTTAACGACTGCTTTGGACGTAATTTTTCACAATGGCACTGCTTCTGGGTAGCGAGTTGCTACGCACATCATCGTAAGCAGGAACTGATGTCCAGTCTTTGTTTTAGGCAATGGTCCGACACAATCCACGATCACGTGCTCAAAGGGTTCCCCAAACACCGGAATTGGAACCAACGGCGCGGGAGGAATAACTTGGTTTGGTTTCCCCATAACCTGACAAGTAGAACACGTTCTGCAATACGCTGCAACATCCTTTTCCAACCTAGGCCAAAAAAAATGACGCAACACACGGTTATAGGTCTTTGTCACCCCTAAATGTCCTGACATAACATGGTCGTGGGCAAGTGAAAGCACCTGGGTACGATACTCTGTCGGCACAACTACTTGACAAACAGTAGAGCATTCTACATCCTCGACTACTCTAGGTCGCCATTTCCGCATTAACAAACCGTCTTCCATAAAATATGACGTATCCCCTTTAAAATCAGACACTGCATCAAAGCACTTCATTAAAGTTGTATCCTCCTGTTGGGCTTTGATTAACTTTTCACGGCTAACAGGTAACGAACGTGTCAGCAGACCACTAACCTCTTCTTTCACCGTTTCCTGAGGCACGTGACCGCCTACAACAACATCACCATCTGTGCACATGAACGTGTCGTCCAATGTAAACTCTGTCCCCATCTTCTTCACCTGGGCACGAGTAAACACACAGGCTGGAAACGCTTCAGGATACTTTAAAGTTAACTCTTCTGTAACAGAAGTAACCACAGGTTTATCCAACACCTCCAATACTGGTAGCACTCTACCCCCAGCCAAGTCATTACCCAAAATGAACTCAACACCAGACACTGGCAACGCAGGTCGCACACCGACGTCCACAAAACCTGCAACCAACTTAGTCTGTAAATACACACGATGCAGAGGTACCTTCAATATGTTCATGCTAATACCTTGCACCAGGATACTGGAATCCAAACAGGACTTCTCTGAAAACGGCAGCACATCCCCACGTATGAATGAGCGTGCAGCTCCAGTGTCCCGCAAAACCCGAATCTCAACTTGATCATCTGGTTGGCCACTGAAAGAAACAAAACCTTCCAACAAGAATGGTTGGTAAACAGAGTCAACAGATACTGGAAGTGTTTTTACCAAACCAACAGACTGCGCACCAGAAGAATTTAGCTGTTTCCTTTTCAGCACTATACAATCTGCAATTACATGACCCATTTTGTGACAGTAAAAACACTCGCGTTTTTCTTTAGCTGGTTCCACCCTTGTTTTAGTTGAAGCGATGTGCAGCGGAAACAATGGGGGACCATTTCTATCATTTCTATCACAACGCATGGTAGTAAACACATTTTTATGAGTCAACGCAAACTCGTCCGCTAGTATAGCAGCGGCAGATAGTTCCATCACCTTCTGTTCATTCAAGTACAAAACAATGCGTTCAGGCAAACACTTTTTAAAATCTTCAAGGAGCGCTAATTCACGCAAGGAAGGAAAATCACTAACATGACTCGAAGCGCACCACTTATCAAACAAAACCCCTTTCTCACGTGCAAATACGACAAAGGTCTGATTACTACTCTTCCTATGATTCCGAAACTTTTGTCGGTAAGCTTCCGGCACCAATTCATATGCGCGCAGAATAGATGCTTTCACGATCTCATATTTCAGACTATCTTCTATAGACAAAGTAGAAAAAACTTCCATAGCTTTTCCCACAAGCCTACATTGCAACAGCAAAGTCCACACTTCCTTTGGCCAATTTAACGAAACTGCAATTCTCTCAAATGCACCAAAATAACTGTCCACTTCCATCTCCCTGAATAACGGCACCAATGAAATGTTTTTACTTACGTCAAAAGCAGTGGTAGACAAACCACGCTCCATCGAATCTTTGCCACCTGAATCAGAAGCAGACAGGCCAGTGGACTTAGACGAAAGCTTCCCCTCCTCTAACTCCAAACGGCGCAGTTTTACTTCTTTATCAGCCTGAATCTCAAGCCGCCGGATTTCAAGCCGCAGATCAAAATCAGCTCGTCGAGCGTCAGCTCGATCCTCCGCCTCCATGCGTATGCGTACGAACCTTTACGTGCGCGCTCTCACCAGAGCCCAGTGCAGGCGGGGAAAATGGCTCAAACAGGGGTAGGCCTGTTTTAGCCTCTGCCTCAGCGTCCGCCTCAACAAGCTTAAACTCCTCATCGCCCGCCTCCGCGCATTCACGTGTGGTTATTTCTTCACTGATTTGATCTGCTTCTCTAACCGACTCGGGCAAACTCAAAACATTTAATTCTGAAAGACCGTCTAAAACGACAGTTCTAATCTCTTTTTTCAATGACTGCCGACGAACTGAGATTTGGAAGTGTTCAGCTATTGCCAAGAGATCATCTTTACGACATTTATCAAAAATGTCCAACGACGGGTTCTCAATAAATCTATGTACATTCGAAGACATCACGAAGCCTACCAACAAAACACTAAACCACATAAAGCTCAATGCTACAATACTGACAACACTAGTCACTTGAGTCCATCCACCACAGACACTCCCAGAGTAAAACAAGGGATTATGCTAACTACCGGAAACTTCCTCAATACTGAGAAAATATCCCGGATGAGCCCCCAAATTATGTTACGTCCTCAGATGACATAGAGGTATGAGGAGGACGTAAGTTAATTAATAAAATTGAAAACAGACTCCTATAGTTTTGATCTCTGGGGAATAAACTACTGTGGGTGAATGACACCAAGACAACAAATTACTGCAAGCAGGTGGTTCGCTTTATTTCCAACACGAACGTTATAGTTTACATGAATAAAAACAAACAAACAAACTTAACAGCTATAGACACAAAAACATTGAAAAATAAGAATTGAAATAAGCCACAGAGAGAAAGAAAATGAGCGGTGCTAAACAAACAAAATAACAAAACCAAAACACACTAACTTAGCCCCACTCTCTAAACTCACTGAAAACAAAACCAGAAAATAAAGAATTCTTCAGCGCTTAACACGCCATAACTAAAACTTCACTAACTACCCAAACAAAAATTACACAGTTGCACACGCTCCTTCCCTAGTGTGTCTAACAAGTATAACCCTACGTGCATGTAAGATGTAGGTCACGTGACGTACTTTCCTCTGCTCTCCGGGCTGGTGCAGACAAAAAGTCCTCTAGTAAGAAAACACAATCAAATAAGGACGCAAGCGAACCACCACAAAGTCAGTATTTCTCAACAACAGTAGCATGAGCCAACAAACACTCCAAAAGCTCCTCCTCTTCCGATCTTCGGAGTGCCTTAAATCCTGAACCACAGCCGATGATTGGTGGTCTCCGACCAATAGCAGCACCTACAAACTCAAGGATAGCAGAGAGCGGGAAAACAGAAAGAAACCAACAGCAGAAGGGAGAAAATAAAGTAACGGGGAGGGACAAAAATGCTAGCACGTAACAAGACCAATCACAACAGACTGGACCATCTGACCAATCATACCAGAGTAGACCAATCACAACAGACTGGACCACCTGACCAATCATACCAGAATAGACCAATCACAACAGACTGGACCGTCTGACCAATCATACCAGAATAGACCAATCACAACAGACTGGACCGTCTGACCAATAATACCGGAATAGACCAATCACAACAGACTGGACCATCTGACCAATCATATCAGAATAGACCAATCACAACAGACTGGACCATCTGACCAATCATACCAGAATAGACCAATCACAACAGACTGGGCCATCTGACCAATCATACCAGAGTAGACCAATCACACCAGACTGGACCATCTGACCAATCATACCAGAATAGACCAATCACAACAGACTGGACCATCTGACCAATCATACCAGAGTAGACCAATCACACCAGACTGGACCGTCTGACCAATCATACCAGAGTAGACCAATCACAACAGACTGGACCATCTGACCAATCATACCAGAATAGACCAATCACAACAGACTGGACCATCTGACCAATCAGAGCAGAGTAGACCAATCACAACAGACTGGACCATCTGACCAATCAGAGCAGAGTAGACCAATCACAACAGACTGGGTCATCTGACCAATCATACCAGAATAGACCAATCACACCAGACTGGACCATCTGACCAATCATACCAGAGTAGACCAATCACAAAAGACTGGGCCATCTGACCAATCAGAGCAGAGTAGACCAATCACAACAGACTGGACCATCTGACCAATCATACCAGAATAGACCAATCACAACAGACTGGGCCATCGAACCAATAAGCTGCAATGTGTATTATGGGAGAGTTAAAGTGTTTTTTGATTTTGGATGCATGTAAACCCATTGTAGGAGACTCCAAAACAAAATTATGAGCCTTTAAAATAGCACAATAGGGGCACTTTAAGTGTAATAATAAAGTGAGTTAATTTGGCTTAGAACTCTACATTGTAGATGTTCATGGAGGAAATAAATGGGAAAAAATGCTTTGGAACCAAGGCAGCTGAACAAATGGGTGGTAAATGTTTGCACACTGTTATATAATGATTATTTAATGCATAAATTTTGTTTTCAGGCCTGATCAGATGGTGGAGGTTATATGTGATTGTTTAGCTGTGAAGCCAACGCCCTGTGTTCATGCGGTCGCCTACAACTGTAGCAGTCCCGCCACCATCGTGAGCATTGACTCCTCTTTATTTAATATGCAGAGGCACATTCTCCACCTCACTGACTGATGTGTCCTGTCATAGGAGACTGTGAAGCGAATGGCAGACGTTTCTGGAGGGAGATATCACCTGTTTTCCGCTGCACTGGTAATCTGCAAAAAAATCTAAACGAACGTGAAAATATTCACAATTATCTCTTAAACTGACATGAAACTGAAATTACATGCAGTGGCACCAACAAGTATTTGGACACTTAAGCCTATATTCGTACTATTACCGGTAGATAACAACATTTAATTATTTTGTCAAACACACTATTTAAGCAAAAAAATATATATATATATCACAAAATTATGTTTTTTTTTAGGTTTGAAATTATAATAGATATAATGTAAAAAAGTATTTGGAAACTTGTTATTGTCAAATGTTAGTGGTTCATGTTCATACTTAAAGGAATAGTTCACCCAAAAATGAAAATTTGTTTTAAAATGAACTTTCATTCATCTTCGAAACACAAATAAAGATATTTTCTAGTGAAACCGGATTTCTGTCCCTCCATTGAAAGTCATTTCTACCAAAAGTTTTAATGCTTCAAAAGAGAAAGTTTAACAAATCTATATGAATGGACCAGTTTAATACAAGAGACTCGTTCTGCTTAAACACACAGAAGTTTGTTCTCACGCGTCGAGCAAGTACGGTTGAACTACCATTGACCATATTTAAAGTGCTTTATGTATATGCGTTGTTCAATTTATATGTGAATAAAAGTCCAAATTAAACCTGTTCATCATAAAAAGTGGCCATGTCTCTTCAGATGATTAAACTGCTTCATTCATGTGGATTTAACAATGTGAACTCATTGAAGTTGGAAAATGTTCATTGCGTATACCGTACTTTCAATGGATGGAGAGTAATGTTGATTTAAGAATATTAAAAATGTCTTTATTTTCCAAAGATGAACAAAAGTCTTACAGGTTTGGAATAACATGAGGGTCCAATCCAGTCAATGATGACAGAATTAAATGCTTTGGGTGAACTCCCTTTAATGTGATTGGACACATGTGTGAACTTGAGAAGAACTGATTCACACAGCCACTAAAAAACATCAAAACAGCAGCTGATTAAAAGTCACTGAGCAGAAATGATGAAGAAAGGTGAAATTAGTGAAGAGAAAAGCTTCTGCACCATTTCCCCACGGATGATAATTGCTTTGATATTTCGTTCCAATGACCTTCAGACATGTTTGTGTCGTCAGTGTTCAAATACTTTTTTGGTACCCCTGTGTGTGTGTGTGTGTGTGTCCCAGGGCGTGGTGGACAGCAGTACAGATGTAGATCTGCTGTGGGAGGAGATTAAAGCAGCTCGGGATGTTCTTACCCAAATTCAGGACATGCGTCAGGGTCGAGTCGGACACACAGCTGTTGAGTCAGAGGTGAATATAGTAAACATTATTCTCTGTATCAGTGTCACTGTTTTTAAACTCCCTGAAACGCCTCCATTGTAGTCTTGAGTTTCTTCCGGGAACGAACACGTCACAATATTCCTCAATTTAATAATGAATACGCTAAATAAAGGGGCGGGGCCTGGTTGAGTGAGTTAGTAGTGTGTTGAAACTAACGGTTATGGTAAGGGGCGGGACAATTCCCAAACACGCTTGAAACGCTTGACCAATCACAACACATTGATCCAGCCGACCAATCAGAGCACATTGTGCTTTTCAGAGGGAGGGGCTTCATAGAGACAGGAACTAAACAGAGCGTTACTGACAGACTGGGAGGAGAAGCGCCGCAACAATGGAGAATATGGGGAAAACTATGTGTTTTGTGAACATTCAAGCATGAAAACCTGTTCTAGTACAACCTAAAAACAAAATCAAGACTTAATAGGTCATAATAGGTCCCCTTTAACACACTTAAATACACCTTCAAAAAAGTGCACTTTGTAAGAACCTTAAATTGCATTTTAAATAATTATGTTTTAATAATATTTTGTCATGCTTTAAAGATTTGCACTAGTATAGACGTTGCATGTGTAAAATAATTTATTATAATTTTTTTGGTAGTGTGTTATTCGATATTACATTTAAATGTTTTAAATGTACTAAACTGCAACTTCATCATTACAACTGGTGTACAAATGGATTCACGAATATATATAAAATACATTACATACATAAATACATATAATGCCATTTCTATTGAAACTTGTAAGTATATTTTAGTTTACCATAAATGTTTTTCAGTACATTCAGCAGTACACATATAAAACACATGTAAAAATGTAAGTAAGTTGTAAGTTTTGTAAGTAACACATGTAAGTTTTATATACTGTAAGTGGGTCAAAATACACTCTAAAGTTCAACTAATGGCAATTAATATAAATTTAAACTATAATATATTTTCATTTAATTAAAAATAACATGCAATTAAGTGTCCGAAAACTCAGTTTGAACCTAAGTATATTATTTCCATAAGTACTCTTTTTTTAAAGTATGCTAAAGTGTACTTCATTTTCACATGTGTAAATATGTTGAGCTGAATTTTACTTTAAGAAATTCCATCATAGTATATGTCCACATTCACAAAAACATTATTGATATGATATCATGTTAGCACCATGGCACTTTTTGTTATTGAAATATTTGTGTTTCTCGGACGATTATGAGGGCTGGCAATGTTTTCAGATTTAACCTCTGCCTCCCCAGATCTCCAGGGGTTTGGACAGTCTCACTGTTTCTGAGTCCAGTCCTGTAAGTTGTGCTCTCGCTGGTCCGCTGCGCATCAAACCCGCGGGTCGAGCGTCCAGCAGCTCCAGAGACTGGCTGAAGACCCACGGCCTCAAGGGTATCTCACACGCCTCGCCTTTACAAAGTTTAATCTACTACGCATTTTACTTCTGCAACATTACAGACATTCTGACGCATGACATATGACAAATATGACATATTTCCAAGTGAAACAGAACTTTGACCAATAAAAAAGTAGGCTGACAACATATGGTCAATCGCAATTTTAATGTTGCCCGTAAATATAATATTTTTTTTTTAAGTTGGCATGAAACAGATGTTAAGCTAGTCTGTTCTTCCCTATTGTGCCGTATTTAAAAGAGTGAAAAGGCTTCTCAAACAAAAAATCCGTAAAATTTACGGTAATAAAACGGTAGCTGTGGTTGTCAGAAATTTACCGTAAAAAATACTGTAGCAACATTTTAGGTTTACAGACTTAAATTTACAGTAAAAAAAAAACATATTTCATTGTCTGATATAATGTTAATTTACCAATCTATCGAATAACTAACATCTCTATTGTACTATTGTAATACACTGACAACCACAGTGGTGATGAGAGTCACATGATGAGTCAAAGCTCATCAGAAGCAGCGTTTCCACAAGAAAATTAATACTAATATATAGAAGCTGCACAGTGTCAAACACGCAAACACTAAACACCATCATGGTAAAATTTTAAAAATGCAATAAACATTATTTTAACAACATTAAATGTAACATTAAACCCTAATGTACATAACTGATTAGAAAAAACTATGAAGAAACATAGTTATTTCAACAAAAATACATCAAATGTGAAGTGTCATGCAGGGAATTGTGGGAATGTCAATTTACAGTTTTTCACTGTAAATTATACAGTACAATGACTTTTTCACTTCCAAAAACTAATTTAAATTTTATAATTTAATGATGTACATTTAACGGTATTTTACTGTAAAATTACAGTAAATGTACACTTAGATCTATCACAGTTATTTACCATATAGTACGGAAACTTTGTGTTAACCAATTAACAGGTGTTTTACCGTTAAAATCATGATAATTTTTCCCAGTGGGCGGGGCTTAATTTTGTCCATGGAGATTTGATTGGATGGTTGTGGTCTGCTATTGGTGGATTGCTATTGGACAGGTTGCCCCGCCCTCACACCAATAAACACATCATCAGAGACGAGATGAGATGTCATTTCGATTCAATAGTCATTTTCTGAAATGCATAACTTGGACACAGTTACCTCTGGTAACAGATCGCTCTAAATTATAATGTGGACTTATAATTATAATGTGCAATATTCCATTTAAAAACAAAAAATTATTTGTAGTTTGATGATGATTTTAAGATGCTCTAAATGTTCTCAATAGTCGAGCAGTGTAACCACAGAAAAGCACAGTCTGACAATCTTCCAGTGGTATTTTTGCAGCATGTGTGCGTTCAGTCGCGAGTGTGTTTCTTGTGCGAGTTCTCTTGGCTCACAGTTGTGTGTTCCTGCAGCTCAGAAGCTGGATCTCTATCAGCTGCTGGCTCGCGATGCCTATTCTCAGCAAGAGACGTTTGTGCCAATCTTGGGAAAGACTGTTTCCTCTACCGTTCACGAGGTGATGAACATGTCCTGCTGCATTTAAGAGTCCAGTTTGAGTGCCGTCTGTTCACCTGTGCCGCAGGACTAACTCGAACTGTGTGTGTTTGCAGCGGGTCATGGTTCAGTGTGACTGGCATGATGGAACAGTGAAGAATCTGCATGTTGATCTTCCATCACTGCAAAAGTATCAGGTACATTTTATTTTACCCACAAACTCCATATGATGAACTTGGACCAGCTAGAAACCATGTAAAACCAGCTGCAACCTAACTAGAGCCATAAGCAATGTTAAGTTTTATTTAACTGGATTTTGCTGAAGTTTTTGTCCAACTATGCAGAATCTTTCAGTATTGTTCTCTTCATTTGGTGTTTCATGAGCAGAAGCGTCTGATGGGGGCTGTGTGTCTGTTTGAGAGGAGAGTGGAGTGGCTGAACGGGACGGCCAGCCGGCAGATTTGGGGAACCGTGTGTGAGCAGAGGTGAGAACATTAGCCTTGAGACGGGGGTGTCCCAATCAGTTCAGTAGCACATCACAAATCATATCATATGCTCTGAAGGGCACTGCGGAGGGCTTAGAGAACCATATTTATTGACACCCCAAGTTAAAAAAAAGTGCACTTTAGTATACTTTTAAAAAGAGTACTTATTACAATATATAAATAAAAGAATATAAGTGTGAACTGAATGTAATATTTCCAACACGTATTAATGTTATCTACAGTTAAATGAATATGTATTATAGTTTAAATATATATTAAATGCACTTAAGAGTGATTTTTTACCCACTTAAAAGGACTTAAGCACATCTTTATATGTAATTTCATACACTGCAAAAATATTTTCTTACTTAGTATTGTTGTCTTGTTTCCAGTCTAAATACCTAAAAATTATCAAATCAAGAAGCATTTATTAGATAAGTAAAATTACATAATAAATTATATCTTGTTTAAGTGAGTTTTTGCTTAAAACAAGCAAAATTATCTGCCAATGGGGTAAGAAAAATAATATTGATTCAAATGGCAGATAATTTTACTAGTTTTAAGCAAAAACTCACTTATTTTTTATTTTTATTTTTTTTTTTATAGATATAAAAAGATATAATTTATTTTATTAATCTAGTAAATGCTTCTTAATTTAAGATTTTTTGATATTTGGACTGGAAACACGACAAAAATACGTGTTTAAGTAAGTAAGAAAAGCATTTTTCAAAATATCTTTATATTTCTTACTTTAAAATGTCTGACATATTTTAATTTTTAAAATATGTTTTAACATTTATGACAAGCATTTATAGTAGAGAATAATATACTTTAATGTAATTTCTATTGAAACTTGTACTTAAATATATATATATATATATATATATGTATATATATATATATATATATGTGTATATTAAATAACACACTACAGTTAAAATTATAATCAAGTACTTTACATGTGCTTTATTTAGTATGTCAGTCAACAAGTGCACTTTAAAGCATGAGAAAAGATCATTGAAACATAATAATTTAAAATGTACTTTTATGTAAAACTTTTAATTTGACTTTTACAAAGTCACTTTTTAAGTGTCCTTAAGTGTATTTAAAGAGAGTCAATTTCATAACTGTTTCTTAACACACTTAAGTGGTCTTTTGTTTCATTAATATTATATTATCTGCAAGTACAGATTATTTTTTAAATACACTACAGGTGCACATTCAATACATTTAAGTGCACTTCTTTTCACACTGGATATCATGTTCATGCATGTCGTCCTACAGAAGCAACAGTTTTATCAGCAGACATGCAGTGTGCCACGTTTAGGGTTCCTGTCGCTTGTAGTTTTCCACTGGTTTTACTTAAGGACTTCAAAACTTTGTACAACTGTACAAAAGTAAACAAAAATAACCTTAAAATCGAAAGAAATGTAATAATCCCATGAACGGTAGACTCAACAATATACAAAACAACAACCGCCGACGTGCACTTTACAGTCTTGATGGTTTGAGTGCTTTTTAAATGCTCTCAGCAGTCAATGGTAGAAGTACAGCCTCACGCCAAACACATTGCGGTCGGCACAAACAATGTTTATCCCTGTAAGATGACCTTGAGTATTAGTGCATATTGATCCTTGTTTGCCAGCCTTTAAGCTTTGTGTAACTCCATTACAGGAGGAAGTGGAGTGTGTTTGTGTGTCTCAGTCTCTCTGTGTTTCCCTGTACAGGGTCCAGGTTGTTCTAGACATGTCTGGGATGAACACACACTACCAGCTGCACATCCAGTACGCTCTCCGGATACTCCTAGAGGAGCAGCTGGCGGATACACACAGCTTCAATGTCACTGTGTAGGTCACACACACTGTCGGCGGTTTTCACTTATTTATAGTGTGACAGATTATGATCTGCTTTGTCATTTGGTCCCAAAGTCTCCTGCTGCTTTCTCCCTAGAACTGATTTTATATAATGAGATTTTTCTCTATATATAACCAATGCCAGTCAAAAGTTTGAACATGGCCAACTGAAAACCTTTTAATCTAAAGATGCTTAGGTGCTTAAAGTTATACAATTCTGTATACAAATATAACATGGCTATTTGTGTACTAAAATTTACAGTGATAACATTTACACCCCGAAGGCTTTAGTTAATCTTCGAGGAATATTTGTAATGAAACCTGATTTTTGTCCCTTCATTGAAAGTCCGTGCAACCAAAAAAACGTTCAAGCTTCAAAAAGTTTATAAAGACTTTGTAAAAGTGATGCAAAATAATCGAGTGGTTTAATAAAGACAATGATGTTTGTACACGTCAAGCAAGTACAGTTGAGCTGGCAGATTGACCATATAATAAAAGCTGAAGTTAAAGGAGAACTCCGGCGCAAAATGAACCTTTGGTCTAATTACACATTGTTACCTAGTCAACCGTTATCTAAGATTTGTTTTCATGATTATCGAATGTAAATAGTTTTATCTCTAAAAACAGTTTAGCCTATAAAGCTTTTATAACGCTAGTATATAGGGCATAGTGTGATGACAAATAAAAATCGCTTGTTAATACCACTAACAAGGCTGAAAATAGCCCCACACTAACACGGTAGCATAATGAGGGTCCCTACCTTCAAACCGAAGCATTGAGAACTTTGTCAGTGTCCAGACAGTTTAATAAGAAGATATTTTAAACATACAGTCAACTTCGTGTATACAGGCAGAATCCATCTTTGAAATACAGCCTTTACCAGTCGATCTACGAACGCCGATCCAAGCCTGCTGTTCGCGCTCACCTTATCATTCTCACCAGCGCACTTGGATCGGCGTTCGTAGATCGACTGGTAAAGGCTGTATTTCAAAGATGGATTCTGCCTGTATACACGAAGTTGACTGTATGTTTAAAATATCTTCTTATTAAACTGTCTGTACACTTACAAAGTTCTCAATGCTTCGGTTTGAAGGTAGGGACCCTCATTATGCTACCGTGTTAGTGTGGGTCTATTTTCAGCCTTGTTAGTGGTATTAACAAGCGATTTTTATTTGTCATCACACTATGCCCTATATACTAGCGTTATAAAAGCTTTATAGGCTAAACTGTTTTTAGAGATAAAACTATTTACATTCGATAATCATGAAAACAAATCTCAGATAACGGTTGACTAGGTAACAATGTGTAATTAGACCAAAGGTTCATTTTGCGCCGGAGTTCTCCTTTAAATCTGTTGTAAAGAGATCGTGTCTCTTCAGAAGACTTGGTTCAAACCGCTCGGATAAGTTAGCTGGAATCTAGACAAAGGGTGGACATGGCTTTAATTTAAAGGGGTCCTCTTTCACTTTTTTTTTTTGCTTTAGTTACAGTAGTGTGTAATGTTGCTGTTTGACCATAAAAAAGATCAGCAAGGTTACAAAGCTCAAAGTCCACTCAAAAGGCAGATATTTTATTTAACAGAATCCACTTTTCAAGAACTACAACGAACTTGTTCATTAACATTGTCAGGGTCTGAATCGGGCTCGAAATGGTTTGAAATTGACGCCAACGCTTAGTGCTGCCAATCACGACATGCTGGGTCAGCTAACCAATCACAGCACATTTCGTGTTTCGGAAGGAGGGGCTTCATCGAAAATGATGCGTTCAAGCAGCTGAGTAGAGAGAAGCCATAATAATGTAAAATATGTAAAAAATAATGAAATTTTTAGAACAATCAAGCATGAAAACCCAAATACAAATTCAAGACTTCCCAAAAAGCGCATAATAGGACCCCTTTAACTATTTTTAAGTCGTTACATAGTTCCCATAGTTCCATTTGTGTCGTTTCATAGTTTTGATGGTGCCATTATTCTAAAATGTGGACAATAACGAAACTAAAGAATTAGCAGGAGTGTCCAAACATTTGCCTGGTAGTCTTGAGTTAAGAATTCCTCATTTTTAATTACCAAAACCGATGCATCGGGATGTCAAAGAAGAGCCTGCAGGAGCAAAATATATATAAATAATAAAAAGCACAAAAATGAACATTTGCATCTAGACCAGGAGTGTCCAATCCTGCACCCGGAGGACCACTGTCCTGTAGAGTTTAGCTTCAAAACAACCTGAACCAGCTAATCAAGCATTTACTTCCCATATATCCCATATATTATTTCCCATATCTTACTAGACGTACTGGAAACTTTCACTTCGTGTGTTGAGGCAAGCTGGAGCTGAACTCTGCAGGACACTGGACGCCTCATTGGACACCTCTGGTCTATACTTTAAATTGGCATGATATATTAATATTATGTATTTGTAAATCTAGTGCAATTTGATGCACTAGATTTAGTGCACCTGAGGTGCATTTGGTGCATAAATGCAAATGTGAACTTTTCAGCTAAATAAATGTGTCTGTGCGTGACACAAATGTGCCGGAGCAGCAGAACTGAGGTACAGGTTATAGGGAGCGCTGGGACTTTTCTCTGTGGGCGCTTGGCCGACTTGTGGTCCAGCTGTCGATCCCCAATTTAGATGCCAAGTAAATAAACAAAGGTTTTAATAGGAGAAAAATAAATTCTGACATTGTTTGGCCAGCCTATTTAAGCTGCAGTGGTAAATCCTGACAACATAGTCATAATATATATATATGAAATATACAGCAAGCAGCATTTTTTCATTAGGCATGGTATAGAAGTGCTAGTCCATCTTTGCTCACTATGTATCAAATTATGAGTCATGGTAATCATACACACTCTTAATAATAAAGGCTCTTTGATGGCATCTATGGAAGAAGCTTTAACATTCATGGAACCTTTCAAAAGGCTCTTTATAGTGGAAAAAGATTATTAAAAATCTTCACACTAAGAACAATTGATTATTTTAAGATCTGACAGATTCCCAAGCCAGGGAACGTTCTCATAACTTGAAACTTCATAACTGACTAAATGTTCTTATAAGGTTCTCTCAAAGAATGTTCTAAAATGGAATGTTTCCTTAACATTCATATAGCCAAGAAAATGTTTAAAGGTGACCTATAATTCAAAATTGAATTTACCTTGGTATAGTCAAATAACAAGAGTTCAGTGCATGGACATGACATAGAGTGAATCTCAAACTGGACTGTTTTCGCGTTCTCATTTAATTCACGTTTATGAAAAACACCCCTGAAAAACGGTCGGTTCTCCACACAATACCGACTGTGACGCAATAGTCGGGATCATTAATATGTACGCCTCCAAATATTTGCATAATGCCAGCCCTCAATGCCAGGCGGAACTGCGCAGCCGAAGCATGGCAGTTGCTCAGTGTGGATGTACACATGAACACAAAAGTATTTTTTAGTTCCTTCATCTGAGCCTCTGAAGAAACAATGGGTTAATTTTATTTTCTCTGGAAATTTCTAAAAATTTCACCGACTGTTTCCTCAACAATACAGAGCTGGCCTCGGATCGAGCCACCAAGCAACACTTTCTGATGTGTAATTGTTCAAGTTCAGACAGGTAATCTTTCTCTCAAAATCGTTCAATACTGTTTATGCATCAGTAAGTCAAGCCAGTGACTAAAATATCAGCTTCACATCGTTTCTTTTAGTAGGATGAAAATAATCGTATTTAAATTGTGAACAAATTATATACAGAAAGCGATCAGAGAACAATCTTTCCACACAGCGCAGGTTTATCTGGACACTTGCCAAACTCGTTATGAAATCAATGACGCACGTTACTGCACAGCTCTTTTTTTTTATTTTTTATTTTTTTTATTAAGTTTTCTGCAGACATATAAAGGGTGTTACAAACAACAGATGTAAAATGAAACAAGGTGTCTGAAAGAGAGAGAAAAGAAAGAAATCAACAGAACAGTTCCGCACATCAATATAGACCCTCACCAATCAGTCAACCCCCCCACCCCACCCCACCCCTAAGGCCACTCATAGCTCTAACGTAAAAAAATAAAAATAATAATAAAAAAATAAAAAAATTATATATATAATGTATATATATATATATATACTACATCATAGTGTTTGCATTGGTGAAAGCAGAGAGAGTGCAGAAACTGCTTTGCAATGATAAGATCTTCATTCTCGCGATCAACACACTGTCATCTGCTCAATGCTCATCACGGCAACATTTTATGTGATGGGAATAGATCTAAATACTTTAAAAACATCTCACGATTCGTTAATCTCGATAGCTGTTATAGTAAAAACGTATAATAGCAGTAGTAAAAGTATTCGGGAGAGTGTTTCACATGTAATGCGTAGCTATTTCATATGCAAGCATGTCAGCCAATCACAGCAGTGGCCGCGGTTACACTGAATCCCACAGCCAATCACAGCAGTGGCCGCGGTTACACTGAATCCCACAGCCAATCACAGCAGTGGCCGCGGTTACACTGAATCCCACAGCAGACACGCCCCTTCAAACAGAGCGTTCAAATCAGAGGCTAAAAGCAGGCTAGGAAAAATGCCATTTATTTCTAAATTATGATTATTTTTTATCTAAAAAACATACTAACATTATAAGGGTAACCCAGGAAACATTATAAAATAATTAAAAAAAAACATTCTAGGGCACCTTTAAAAAAAAACAAATGACATTTTGAAATTTCAAGATACATTCAGAAATAGCGTTTTCATAACTTAATGGGAAATGTTTTTAGACCATATTTTAGTTGTGTTTAGACCACCGAAATGCTTCTTGTATGACACTGGAACCTTTTGGTATCCTACTTTTAAAAGTGTCATTTATAAGGGTAGCCTACATTGAAATGTTCTCTGGTGTGTGCACATGTACCTGTGCGAATACATCACATTCATAATTCACTTGTCATGAATCAGGTAATGCACAGAATCATTGTTGCATCATCGCGCACACTTCCACAGAGGAAATGAAGGCATTAATGGCTCACTGTAAAGCCTCTGTAGCATTTATCTCCGGCGGTTAGTTGTCTGCTCCTGTTTTAGCGTAGTCATGAGCGCTCTACTTTAGTCTGGCATGAGCAGTAGTGGATATGCAGCGCACACACCTGCTCCTAATACTGCAGAGCATCATCATGTCACATGACTCAGGCCTTACCTTCAAGAACAGTGTCACTCCCTTATTTAATGAACCCACGCTCCGTAACTTTATGGCGGAGCCACTTTTACATGTATGTGTTATGGATCAGTCATGTTCTACAGTATAGCCTTTTAACGCTCGCTGTTATTCTCTCACATTATGGGGGTAAATCGGTGCCAGACTGAAGCTACCTGATGTGACTGTCACTGTAAACTTAATTTTTAAAGTTGTAATTTAAGTATTTCCATAACTTGATTGTTTATATGGCAAGTAAATGCCCAACAGGATTTGAAGTTATAGCCATTGACAGTTAGTAGCTTACATGAGGTCGTCATATGAGATTTTTTTATCCAATAGAGCGCTGCAGAGATGACGCATTTTTTTAGGTCAACCCGTAATTTAGCGTCACCATCTTTGACCCAGTTGAGAAAAATATTTTAAGGGAAAAACCCCCCCCGTTTTTGCTGTTAAAAAAACACGAGAACGAGAAAAAAAAGCTCAAGGTCTAGAGACGCATTTTTAAAAAATATTTTAAAAGTTTATAACTTGAGCGTCTTTTAAAAGACACGAGACGCGAGCGCAGCGGTTAAAGACCGATTCCATCTAGACTCCCGCGTTTACATTGAAGAACAATGCAAAGGAATGGAAAAACGCGTTCTGTGTGAACCGGCCCCTATAATAATGTTTTGGTATAGCGTTCCCATTATTCTCTGAACATTCAAAACATCCGGTTTGTTAAATGTAAATTAAAAAAATAACACTTGCAAAAACATTATAGGGAAACACAAATTTTTATCACTCTTCAAGCATTCTGGGAACGCTCTTTAAAATTTTCTCTGAAAATTCTGAAACAAATAGTTCCTTAAATATAGTATTGATAATGTTTTTGTGCTGACCTTTTGAGAAGAACAAACAGTCCATTAACGTCACTGGAAGAACTAGCCAACGTTCTGAGGACCATCTCTGTTAAGCTTTGTTCCATTTCCCATGAAAGTTAGAGTTATAATAGTTTGTAAACACAACGAGACTGTGAAAAAAAACTCTAAACGTGGCTGAATAACTACGCTGAGGATGTGAAGTGAAGTGAAGTTAATGTCCCGTGTGTTGCTGCATTCACTCTTCTGTATGTTCCTCAGGTTTGGATCAGATGTGAAGTCGTGGCAGGAGAAGATGGTTCCCTCCACCCGTGAAAACCTCCAGGCTGTTTGGCAGTAAGACCAGAGGATGTGCTTTCATGTCTCTCTCATGTTCTCTTCATTAGTGTTTGCTATTGATATTGCTCGTACTGCACTACAAGACACTTTTATCAAACTCTATAAAAATGAATGAAATCCTCCATCGGGTCTTCAAAAAAAATTACTGCATTTTGCCTTAGTGATTGCATTCTGTGTTCACTTCTCACTGCATTTCAGTGCCTGTATTTGAGCCTAGCACCTGTTTTTGTCCCCCCGTTCAGTTTAAGTTCATCCCGAAACAGTAAATCTCTGCGGCCTGTGTGTGTGTGTGTGTGTGTGTGTGTGTGTGTGTCCTAATATAGCCTGTTCTGCTTCTGGGGTCTAAAGTTTAATTGAAGCCTTGTAAGAAAGAGTCTTTTGGTGATAAATCTTGCTACTTATAAACTCCCGAGACCTCAGTGTGTGTGTGTGTGTGTGTGTGTGTGTGTGTGGGTGTACTTGTACGACTATCTTTGTGAGGACCAGTTTGAATTTTAGACCATTGGAGTGAGGACAAAGAGAGTAAAGTGAGGACATTTTGGCCGGTCCTCACTTTCTGAGACCCCTTTAAAGGCCTGTTTGAGGGTCAAGACTTGGTTTTAGGGATAAGGTTATAGTTAGGTTAAAGGTAGGTTTAGGGTAAGGGTTCGGGGTTAAGCACTTAGTTGTGATGAGTAAGGTTAGGGTAAGCGGCTAGAGATTGCATTGTGTCAATGAATGTCCTCATAAAGATAGATGTACAAGAGCGTGTGTGTGTGTGTGTGTGTGTGTGTGTGTGTGTGTGTGTGTGTGTGTGTGTGTGTGTGTGTGTGTGTGTGTGTGTGTGTGTGTGTGTGTGTGTGTAAAAACAGAACGTTGTGTGTGATGGGTACATTGAATTTTTATTTCGATTGTATGTGGGCACATAAAAAAGTAGACATTTAACAGATTATTTTCTCATATTTCTTAACTCTATATGAACAGAAATTATGGTAGTACTTTAAGTCTATTTTTCTGCTATGTGAAAAAAAAACGAGCAAAACGCGCCGGCGCGTTTCTGGTCCCCAGAGGGTTAAGGGTAGGGATTGGGTAAGGACTACATTTTGGGACAGGAATGTTGATCCAGGACCATGTCTTACTTGGCAAAATCACGGTGACCGTCAGGTTAGTGTGTGTGTGTGTGTGTGTGTGTGTGTTTGTATGTGTAGGATGGGTAGGTTTAGGGGTCAAGTTAGTGTGTGTGTGTGCGTGTGTGTTTGTATGTGTGTGATGGGTAGGTTTAGGGGTCGGGTTAGTGTGTGTGTGCGTGTGTTTGTATGTGTGTGATGGGTAGGTTTAGGGGTCAAGTTAGTGTGTGTGCGTGTGTGTTTGTATGTGTGTGATGGGTAGGTTTAGGGGTCGGGTTAGTGTAAGGGGAATATACAGAATATAAAGTTTGGAAAGTATATAAACAAATAAAATATGTGTGTGTGTGTGTTCAGGTGGGTTCAGGCGTTAGAGTGTGTGGGGGGTCGTGATACTCTGGCTGCTCTCCGGCGCGCTCTAGAGGAGGAACCGCAGGAAGAAGAAGAAGCGTCTCTGACTCGTGGCGTTTACCTCTTCACCACCGGCACGCCTGATCAACACTCGGTTAGTCGGACACTCAAGCTTCTGTTTCATCACACGCAAGACAGACAAATGTTTTGTGACTGTTATTCAAACACAGAAAAGGAAATCAGTCAGTCAGTGTTTTCAAGTCCTCCTGCAGTCAATCATTATATCCCTTAAAACTCAGCTTTGATCACCAAAATGACATATTTAAGCGTTTTTTCCTTCCGTTTTTATCACATTTCTTCATGGCTTAAAATATCTTGAATGTAACTCGACACCCTTGCCTCATTTAGTATGCGTGGTTCTATGAATATGCAAATGAGCCCCGCCTCCGCTCACTCACAGCAGCTCAGAGATCCACTGGTTGATCAGGGGTGTGTTTCCCGTAACTCGCTGCTTCACTACTATAGTACGAGGCTTTGTTGAAGAAATCAGCTTGCTAGTCACGACTGTTTCCCGAAACCATATTGTCGCAAAGTGGTCGTTCAACCACGCTGGTTAATGGTTGAACGAATGGCTGTTTGCGAATGTTCGTTTGAACGATGGTTTCCGGAAACACCGACTCGTTGAACTGCTGCTAACGCCAGAACTTGCTTCTAAACGATGCTTTTAGGAAACACAGCCCTGATTGGTTACAAAGTAACGTTTGTGACGTCAGAAATACCAGCAATTTCAAACCGTGTTTTTGAGACTGTCTTTGGTTCACTGCAGTTTTAAGGAGAAAATACTCAGCAATGCTGTCGACTTATGAATTTACAGATAGACATATGAACAACATTATCTGATCCTCAGGAATCTGTCACTGATTATGTGTCTGAGCGCTGCATCGTTTCAAACCTGAAGCTCCACGTGTGCCTGTTCACCGGAGAAGAGGAAAGCGTTCGCTGTCCCGCGCCGCGTCACGCCACACGGGCCCTGAGCCGCCTGGCACACGCGGGCCACGGGCGCTTCCTCTGGACCACCGAGACTGGTGAGGACAGGGTGTTGAAGTGAGTTTGTCATGGAAGACGAGTTCAGGTACTAAAAACAAGTTTAGTTTAACCCTCATCCTTCCCTTGGGTCATTTTGAGCCTGAAATTGAGCCAATTTTTTTAATTGAGTGTTCATTCGTCGGTGTCCAAGACCCCCATGACTTTTGTCGTATTTGAACCAGGAATACACACACACACACACACACACAAAAAATGTAATGGATTCGAGAAGTTTTGTGGTTGAAATTTTAAAATGTAGCAAATCGGGTCAAATTGACCCGCTTAGGAATGAGTGGGATGCGAGGAATGCTTCAGAAACACATAGAAAAACCAAAAAATTGCTCACAATTCAAACTAAAAATGCTAAAACTTTACCAAAAAAGTATTTATAATGTCTACATGTGTATCTGAATGCATACTGAAGAGAAACTGAGTTTAGGACCCAGCAGAACAGCTCATTTGCTCCATATAGAGCTATAAGGCCATCTAGTGGAAATATCATGTTATATTATTATTTTTCCACAAGAGGTCGGCAAAGACACCCAATGGAAGATATTCTGAGCTGAATTGAAAGATTCATGCATGAAATTGTGAATTATTTTGAATTTAAGTTGAACAAATGTGAGGAATGTGCTTCTAAATTACTATTTATTATTTATTGATTGATTAAATCTAGTAATTTAAAGGTAAATAAAATAAAAAAGAACAAAAAAATTCCCAAAAAATAGCATTAAAACATAGAAACAATATTATCAAAATGAAATAAAATAAGCTTTCTGGACAAAAAAAAAGCATAATTTTAGGGCCCGTGAGGGAAGGATTTCTTACAAAACGCGGGGGAAGGATGTTGAAATGTACAGACGATCCTTCAGTTTTGTTGTTCACCTTTTGAGGCCATGTGTAAAACTCGAACACTGTTTACTTGACTTTGCTGCTTTCCTCTCGGTCATATGTGCAGCACATGGTGCCTGAACCCAGTGCGCCCTGCAATGGTTAGTCTTGTGTTTGTGTGTGTGTGTGTGTGTGCAGTGGAAAATATGAGCCTCTTCCTCGTGTTTCCCTGCAGGCATCGTGGAGAGTGATGACATCAGTGCCCTAATTGGAGAAATGGAGACGGCCGCTGATTATTGTCAGAAGGTGAGTTCAGATCACATGACCTGGACTTGACCCGTGTGTGTTCGCGATGCTTAAAGCATTCATGGGAAACTGAAGAAAAGTTCACACCTGCAAGAAGTGATCAGTTGTTTATCGAGGATCGTCCAGGTCTTGTGTTTGCTCAGGAACAGCTGGATTTGTGGGAGATGTTTCATCGTCGGAGCTGCGTCCTCATCCTCAAGTCCGCTTGCTCAGCCGTGTTTCCATTACAGATTTGCGCAAAACTTTTGCGATTTTTTTCTAAATGTTGATAATAAACTATTGCGAAATGACGGCGTTTCCATTAACCGATGTTATGCGACTAAAACGTCATTTTTTCCTCTCATGATGATAAGTCATTTGCGACAGATTTTGGTATGTATATATGTATATCGTATGTCGGGTTTTTGTGAAATTGACGTGTTTCCATTGGGCGTATTTTCAATTTGCGCAATTTGAAGGGTAATGGAAACTCGGCTGCTGACATCAATAAATCAATCAATAATTTACCCTATTTACTTTCTTAACACACACAGGACTGTTCAAGTATGATTGAATTAAACAAAAGTGACAGTAAAGTAAAGACGTGTCATTTCTATTACAAATGAATGCTGTTCTTTTAGACTTTACACTTTCTTCTCATATATTCCTTCCCTCAAACTGCCTGGCTTCATTCCTGTTACATGCACTTTTCACAACTCCAATGGATAAAGCCTCACTTTTTTTCACTCTTGTTTCACGCAAAATGATCAGATTACGAAAGTAAAATGGATTGCGATCACCATTTCATGTTGCCTTGCCTGAGAGCTGTTGCTGATGTGCTGATTATTGTAACGCTTCATATATATGGGACTTTCCTCCATGTTTCCCTGCAGTGCTCTGAGCTACTGGACTCTCTGATCCAGAAGGGCTCCGGCAGAGGTTCAGGAGAAGCGAATTCCTCATCCCTCAAACCCCAGGCCTGGACCCGCAACGCAAAACTGCCGTGTCCCAGACCCACGACACTCAGCCTGGCTAGACTGGTCAGATCACGCCCCTCCTCATGACTCTAGATCTGTCATACCGTCAGTTTGACATGCTAGGCTGAAAAGAACAGCACTGCTGATCACATCAGGCTTCATAACTAGCATATCGTAAACGTCTCCGTCCACACGAGCGTTCTCCAAAAGTTTCTCATCCACTCTGAAACATCAGAAAAAGGCTAAATTCACCTTACAGCACATTATTGTGGACAAGGCCTTATAATTCACCAGTGATTAGTCTCGCGTAGCCAGAGCTTCAGACTGACTCCATCGCAGCTTTCATTGGCCAAGGACTAACCAGAGCCCATTTGACTGACATGTAAAGCATCCAATCACAGTTCGTTTTGCTCTGCGTCATGTTTAGGGGCGTGAAAATGTAACGTCGATGTCCCTACAATAACAGACTGTTGTGTTAAACTCTTGGGCGTATTTTAAAGAGGCTATGCCGTGAACTTCACATATGTCACATACTTTTGTATATCCAGCGTTTAGTTGATCCTGGTAAGCGCTCATTGCCAGTTGTAAACACGCCGGTGTTTTTTTTTTCCATGAGGGGGTTTGGCTTCACGGCAGCTTTGTTTCCAGGCAGACAGTTCAAAAACGCGACACACATGTCTCCCCGTTTCAACCAATGAGATCACTACTTTGAAAATCCCGAAGTATTTCCCGAAGTATTTCCCATTTAGTGTGCCTTATGCATCAGACCGATGGTTTGAGACTACACACAGCCAGACTTCTGATTATCAGCCAGTCCTGTTTAGCTTATTCTCACCTAGAACTATGACAGAAAGAGATAAGTCTGTCAGACGTGTTTTGTTGTTATGTGCTGTTTAAGTGTAGCTTTATATGAAGTTGTTGATATCACAGATTATGTTAACCATCTCAAATCATGCTGGTAAGATGGTCTTTTCAGTAGGACACTTCAGTAGGTTCATTGAAAAATGTAAAATCTGTGATTTATTAACCCTCATGTCGTTTTAAACCCGTAGTTCTTCCTTCTGAGGAACACAAAAGAAGATATTGTGAACAATGTTGCTAACCAAACCGATATGATGATCATTAACTTCCATTGTACGGACAAGAGACACTGAGACATTTCTCAAAATATCTTCTATTGTGTTCCACAGATGAAAGAAAGTCATAGAGGTTTGAACTGGCATGAGTTTATTAAGGGACTCATTAAAAGATGTTTCCACTATGAAGGCGTTTTGATCATGATGTATGATGTATGATGTATGATGTGAACAGGAAGGCAGGCAGATGAGCAGGTCGGCACAGAACGGGTCGGCTTGGAGGGCGAACAGCTCTAAAGCAGAAATCCCAGCAGGTTTGACGTCTTACCAACATCCTGACTGCAATTATTAGAGATCATATACCAAATGGTCTCTATTCGCCATCTGAACTGTTTGTTTTAGCTCTCTCTCTCTCTCTCTCTCTCTCTCTCTCTCTCTCTCTCTCTCTCTCTCTCTCTCTCTCTCTCTCTCTCTCTCTCTCTCTCTCTCTCTCTCTCTCTCTCTCTCTCTGTGTGTGTGTGTGTGTCTCTCTCTCTCTATATATTTTTCTCTCTCTATGTATATATATATATGTATATATATATATATATATATTATTTTTTATTTTTTTCTTCAGACACCATATATCATTTTTTAATATATTTTTTACTAGTGTGTGCAGGACACTATAGTTCATTTATGTGAGTGAGGAGAGCAAAATAAAGTAAACTATGACATATTATACCCAGAAACTCTTCATACAGTGACTACCAGTAACATTTATACAAATTTGGGAGCAATAATTATTCCGACACTTTGAGCTGATCATGTTTTGCTGAAGTGTTTTTTCTTTAATTGCTAATGCTCTTTTTACACACAGACTGAACAACATGAAGCATTGCTTGGTAATCGGTTGAGCTAAACTGGTATTATCTAATTGTGTAGTTAAATTTAACAGCTGACAGATATTCAACATAATTCATCTGTGAGAGTCTAACAGAAGGACGGACAAAACCAGTGAAATATCAACTGATTTAATAACTCTCAGTTCTGCTCATATTTTACTACCATTTTCTAAACTATAGCGAATAAACTGTGATAATGTGAGAAATGTCGAAGGTGTCTGAATACATTTTGGTTTGACTGTATATGTATATATATATATATTTTTTTTACTTTTTGCTTTATATTGCTCCAGATAAAGCAACTCATTCTGTCCACGTCTGATTCTGTAAGCATGTCAGTGTCTATATTTGTCTCAGTCTAAAACATCCTCTGATTGTCTCTCAGACTAAACGCTGGGCTATTTCTGTGAATCATGGTGCTTTCATTTTTTTTCAGAGTATTTATTTTTAGTCTTTTATATTTTCCAGTGCAGTCAGCTGATTTCAGCACACCAGCTGGGCCGTCAAAGTCTGCTGATCAGAGGAGAACCATTGTGTCTCAGTCGGTCTTCTTCATGGAAGACGGCAACTTCGGTTTGTGGAAATGGATTTTCCATGTTGTCATAGCCAGAAACATGTGATATATCCATTATCCATATCTCATATCCATTTCTGGTTCATGTTGTGTCATATAGCATTGATTGTCTTATCTAGGTGTTGTCTTCAAGAAATATCCAAAACCCAAGAGTGTGCGTAAGTCTATCAACACCATTAAACTGCCGAAACATGAAGACATCTGTTCAACTAAACAGGTACTGTACTGTATGAACCATCCTGTTATTGTTCAAAATAAAAATGCCTAATTTTTCCCAATTCTACACTAGCCTCAGATAACAAAATAAGTTCTAAAAACGATTCGCTAACATTCCCATTAGGCTATGAAAACAATATTTCTGAATGTTCTCTGAACATTCCAAACATACATTTTTTTAATGTTGTAAAAAGTTTTTTTATTGGAACGTTAAAGGAAACATTCCATGAAGATTCCATACAATAATTAAATCATGCACACATAATGGAAACGTTATTTGGAATGTTCTCTGAACATACTGAAACACGCAGTAACATAAAAAAAAAAAAAAAAACATCCAGAAAAAAAGTTCCATGACCGTTGTATAAATAATGTTTCTGCCCTAAAGTTTTGAGAACATTATTAAAGACCGGATAACTTTGAACGAAAGTTGTATTTATGTCACTGGAAGAAGGTTTGTTAATAACTTTGAGAGAACCTTTCGGGGACTTTAGCAAAAGTTCTGAGAGTGTTCCCTGTTAGCTGGGTTTCTGTTCTGACCTAGTAGCTAACTTTTCATGTAGCAGATCGTCAAATGTTGTGATTGGCTGGATCAGTGTGTTGTGATTGGCTGGATCAGTGTGTTGTGATTGGCTGGATCAGTGTGTTGTGATTGGCTGGATCAGTGTGTTGTGATTGGTTGGTTCAGTGTGTTGTGATTGGTTGGATCAGTGTGTTGTGATTGGCTGGATCAGTGTGTTGTGATTGGCTGGATCAGTGTGTTGTGATTGGCTGGATCAGTGTGTTGTGATTGGCTGGATCAGTGTGTTGTGATTGGCTGGATCAGTGTGTTGTGATTGGCTGGATCAGTGTGTTGTGATTGGCTGGATCAGTGTGTTGTGATTGGCTGGATCAGTGTGTTGTGATTGGTTGGATCAGTGTGTTGTGATTGGCTGGATCAGTGTGTTGTGATTGGCTGGATCAGTGTGTTGTGGTTGGCTGGATCAGTGTGTTGTGATTGGCTGGATCAGTGTGTTGTGATTGGTGGGATCAGTGTGTTGTGATTGGCTGGATCAGTGTGTTGTGATTGGCTGGATCAGTGTGTTGTGATTGGCTGGATCAGTGTGTTGTGATTGGTTGGTTCAGTGTGTTGTGATTGGTTGGATCAGTGTGTTGTGATTGGCTGGATCAGTGTGTTGTGATTGGCTGGATCAGTGTGTTGTGATTGGCTGGATCAGTGTGTTGTGATTGGCTTGATCAGTGTGTTGTGATTGGTTGGATCAGTGTGTTGTGATTGGCTGGAACAGTGTGTTGTGATTGGTTGGATCAATGTGTTGTGATTGGCTGGATCAATGTGTTGTGATTGGCTGAATCAGTGTGTTGTGATTGGTTGGATCAGTGTGTTGTGATTGGTTGGATCAGTGTGTTGTGATTGGTTGGATGAGTGTGTTGTGATTGGTTGGATCAGTGTGTTGTGATTGGCTGGATCAGTGTGTTGTGATTGGTTGGATCAGTGTGTTGTGATTGGCTGGATCAGTGTGTTGTGATTGGTTGGATCAGTGTGTTGTGATTGGTTGGATCAGTGTGTTGTGATTGGCTGGATCAGTGTATTGTGATTGGCTGGATCAGTGTGTTGTGATTGGTTGGATCAGTGTGTTGTGATTGGCTGGATCAGTGTGTTGTGATTGGTTGGATCAGTGTGTTGTGATTGGCTGGATCAGTGTGTTGTGATTGGCTGGATCAGTGTGTTGTGATTGGCTGGATCAGTGTGTTGTGATTGGCTGGATCAGTGTGTTGTGATTGGCTGGATCAGTGTGTTGTGATTGGCTGGATCAGTGTGTTGTGGTTGGCTGGATCAGTGTGTTGTGATTGGCTGGATCAGTGTGTTGTGATTGGCTGGATCAGTGTGTTGTGGTTGGCTGGATCAGTGTGTTGTGATTGGCTGGATCAGTGTGTTGTGATTGGCTGGATCAGTGTGTTGTGATTGGTGGGATCAGTGTGTTGTGATTGGCTGGATCAGTGTGTTGTGATTGGCTGGATCAGTGTGTTGTGATTGGCTGGATCAGTGTGTTGTGATTGGTGGGATCAGTGTGTTGTGGTTGGTTGGATCAGTGTGTTGTGATTGGCTGGATCAGTGTGTTGTGATTGGCTGGATCAGTGTGTTGTGATTGGCTTGATCAGTGTGTTGTGATTGGTGGGATCAGTGTGTTGTGTGATTGGCTGGATCAGTGTGTTGTGATTGGTGGGATCAGTGTGTTGTGATTGGCTTGATCAGTGTGTTGTGATTGGTGGGATCAGTGTGTTGTGATTGGCTGGATCAGTGTGTTGTGATTGGTGGGATCAGTGTGTTGTGGTTGGCTGGATCAGTGTGTTGTGATTGGCTTGATCAGTGTGTTGTGATTGGCTGGATCAGTGTGTTGTGATTGGCTGGATCAGTGTGTTGTGATTGGTTGGATCAGTGTGTTGTGGTTGGCTGGATCAGTGTGTTGTGATTGGCTTGATCAGTGTGTTGTGATTGGCTGGATCAGTGTGTTGTGATTGGCTGGATCAGTGTGTTGTGATTGGTTGGATCAGTGTGTTGTGATTGGCTGGATCAGTGTGTTGTGATTGGCTGGATCAGTGTGTTGTGATTGGTTGGATCAAAGTGTTGTGATTGGTTGGATCAAAGTGTTGTGATTGGCTGGATCAGTGTGTTGTGATTGGTTGGATCAGTGTGTTGTGATTGGTTGGATCAGTGTGTTGTGATTGGTTGGATCAGTGTGTTGTGATTGGCTGGATCAGTGTGTTGTGATTGGCTGGATCAGTGTGTTGTGATTGGCTGGATCAGTGTGTTGTGATTGGCTGGATCAGTGTGTTGTGATTGGTTGGATCAGTGTGTTGTGATTGGCTGGATCAGTGTATTGTGATTGGCTGGATCAGTGTGTTGTGATTGGCTTGATCAGTGTGTTGTGATTGGCTGGATCAGTGTGTTGTGATTGGCTGGATCAGTGTGTTGTGATTGGCTGGATCAGTGTGTTGTGATTGGCTGGATCAGTGTGTTGTGATTGGCTGGATCAGTGTGTTGTGATTGGCTGGATCAGTGTGTTGTGATTGGTTGGATCAGTGTGTTGTGATTGGCTGGATCAGTGTGTTGTGATTGGCTGGATCAGTGTGTTGTGATTGGTTGGATCAGTGTGTTGTGGTTGGCTGGATCAGTGTGTTGTGATTGGCTGGATCAGTGTGTTGTGATTGGCTGGATCAGTGTGTTGTGATTGGCTGGATCAGTGTGTTGTGATTGGCTGGATCAGTGTGTTGTGATTGGCTGGATCAGTCTGTTGTGATTGGCTGGATCAGTGTGTTGTGATTGGCTGGATCAGTGTGTTGTGATTGGCTGGATCAGTGTGTTGTGATTGGCTGGATCAGTGTGTTGTGATTGGCTGGATCAGTGTGTTGTGATTGGTCAAGCGCTTCGAGTGTGTTTGGGAAATGGCACAACGCTTACTATAACCGCTAGTTTCAACAGACTACTAATTAACTCAACCAGGCCCCTCCCCTTTATTAAGCATATTAATTATTTAAATGAGGAATATTGTGACGTGTTCGTTCCTGGAAGAAAATCAAGACTACAATGGAGGCGTTTCAGGGAGTTTAAAAACAGTGACACTGACATAAAGAATGACTTTGCTTTGACTTTTTCATGCTCAAACTGCTACATTACACACTAAAAACCGTTAGATTAATCATTATTAAATCAGTATTTGTGTGTGTGTGTGTGTGTGTGTGTGTGTGTGTGCTCTTTAAGTGGCTGAAAAGGTTTGGTATAAAGAATCTGAAGTTGGACCTTCACAAACTGATATCTGGGCCTGAATGCTGCCATCACAACAAACTGGTGCGGTCCGTCCAGAAGCGAGTGTCTGCTAAATACTGCGGCATATTCCCGAGTGTCCTCCTCAATGTGAGCCCAGCGCTGTGTAACACCAGTCACACTGAGCATATGTGTGTGTTCTGCATGTTTAGTGTAACATGTTTGTCCTGATGTTGATCACAGGGGGCTGTGAAACACCTGCATCTGACTCCTGGAGAGTTAAAGCACTACCTCAGTCAGACGGAGAAACTGATGCAGCGATACAGCAGAAGACTGGAGTGGTTACTGACAGGTACAGTACAGGTGTTCATCACACACACTCTCTGAAACACAACTAGCACTCTCATGTAGCTCTTTCTGGCAGGAATGTGAAATATGATTGTGTGCTTGCTTTTATATGAAAAACTTTGCGAGATGGATTAGTCTGTTTGTTAACCGTCACCCGTATAATAGAGCATAGATCTGAATATAAATAGAGTTCACGAAAGCTTTGCAATACAGATCCCTCAGGGCTATTAGCACATCTTTCCCCCGCGAGTCAAAATGACCCGAAGCCTTAAAATTATACTTCTCCAGAAAGCTTATTTTATTTATTTATTTTATTTTAGAGATTTTTTATTTTTTATTTTATTTACCTTTAAATTACTAGATTTTATCAATAAATAATAAATAAATAGTAATTTAAGCACATTCCTCACATTCTTTCAACTTAAATTCAAAATAACTCACAATTTCATGCATGAATCTTTCAATTCAGCTCAGAATATCTTACATTTGTCTTTGCCGACCTCTTGTGGAAAAATAATAATATAACATGATATTTCATGACTCTTGCCACTAGATGGCCTTATATCTCTATATGGAGAAAATGAGCTGTTTCCCGTCAGTTTCTTTTCATTATGCATTCATTTATATTGTACAAAATAAAATCAAGGCCATATGCCTAACCAAGTTTTGTTCCAAATTTTAATATTGAGCCCGCTAAATAGATTTAAAGTGCCATTTTCATAGTAACTCACTGTCCAGTTATGAAATGGTATTCACAGGTATTTTGAATGATACCTAATTTATAATGATTACTAAGATATCTGATAAGGAAAAGTGCAATTAAAAAGCGCAGCAACTGTCCATCTACCGTTCTACAGTAATGTACTATAAATAACTGATGATCATGTGTTTCTCTCTTTGCAGTTCGCAACTATTTCACGTTTTGGCAAATTAGTGGCTAATATTCATATGGATTTGTACAATCTCATTCATATATTTTCGTAAAATCTGTTCGGAGTGGATTTTTTAGTTTTTCTAAAAATCATACATTTCCATGGGAATCACAATCATCCGAGAAAATTACTTTTTCTCCTGAGATCAGGTTGGTGGTATATGTGTCTGTACATGGATCATATCAGTACCAAACACTAAACTTGTTCCAAAACATACTGCTCTTTTGCACAGGCAATAGTTTAAGGGCTCAAAGGCTGTTCTTGAAGGATAGGGATTCAGTTAGCAGGAGACAGAAGCTCACTGGGTTTTAGAAGAAATCCCCTTTCTCCTGCCATGTGTGTATCTCCCGTGTGTGAGCAGGCAGCAGGCGGATGTTCGGATCCGTGCTGGAGAAGGACGTGTGTGTTCTGCTGGATGTGTCCGGATCAATGGCCTCGTTCCTCCCTGAACTCCAGAAGGGACTGACCACACTGATCTGGGATCAGCTGCATGCCAACAGCGTCAGGTGAGGGAACTCCTTTTGCTCTATAGAGGGAGATATAGAAACATCTCTTTCACACTCACCCGTCCTTCCATTGATGGGCCGAACAGATAGTCCCGGTCTGAACTCATGCCGTGGATGGAGTGAATGGACCGTTCTCCCAGACTGAGGCGACGTCTACATTAATCCGGATACGTTTAAAACCGCTCTCCGTCCACACTAGCGAATAAACGCTAAATTCCCCTTTACTGCGCATGCGTAAAACCTCTCAAAAGCTCACTGAGATGATACAGATTACAGACGGAAAAATAAATAATAACGTTGTCACGCAATTCTTCTGGCAGGATCATTTTATTTATTTAGCAAATATCTCAGCATTCACTGATGTTGCTCTCAGTCACCATTATATGTTTGGTGTAAATCACGACTGCTCTCATGTTTTGTCACAGGACAGCAAATGCGAGTGAATTTTCTGTCATCTGTGCAGGACTGTGATATGAAGAGTGCACAAAGAAACATATTTTAGCAACAGTGTGAAAGTGAACAGCACATAACAGGCACAATACCGGTATAAACATGAATATCTATTGGTACAACATGCGTCACATGACTAAACTTATCACGACTAACATCATCGTTTTTAAATACCTCCGTTTTCACAGTCCACACTACAACACGAGAACAGTGTTTTTAAAGTTATCCTTTTAAAGGCCTGTGATGAGACATTTCCAGCCACATGGGTTTGATCTGGGCTATCTAACTGGGACCCAGCCAGTTTTGTCCACGGTTTCCATGTAGGCCCCACATGGGTTTGCCCAGATGAAATGAACACTGCTCAGTGTGCACACTACAGGCTGTTAAATGTAACACATATCAGTGTTGGAGTTAATGAGATTGATTATTGATCATTATTCAATCAATTAATTGTTTATAGCATCTGATTGCATCTTCTTTTGCTGTTCTCAACATAACAAACAGATACAACTGCCAGAGAAAAACTAATGTTAAAAATTCTAGCGCCCAACTAAAGCACACACTGATCACCATAATGGTGGCATCAAACCAAACTATTATTTTCATAAATCATCAACATCTTAACCTCTGTTAATTCTCAAATAAAAGAATTTCTAAAAAGAAATAAAGTCAACCTGGTTGGTAATAAGTGAAGCTGGTAATGCTGTTTGTGGAGTTGTTTAATCAGATCCTGAGAGATTTCATGTATTTTATCTTCAGTTGATTTCATAAGGCTGTGGCTGGAAGTAGCTCTTGTGTTTCTCTTTCCTTCAGTGATTTTGCTTGTTAACAGCAGGTGTTCATCAATAATGCTCAATCTTCAATCAATAAATTATCTTATTAACTCCAACACTGATCAGTGTTACATTTAACAGCCTGTAGTGTGCACACTGAGCAGTGTTCATTTCATCTGGGCAAACCCATGTTCAAAACATGGAAACCATGGACAAAACTGTCTGGGTCCCAGTTAGATAGCCCAGGTCAAACCCATGTGGGCCCCATATGGTTTTGCTGGCTGTGTCACCAGACTAGAAATGTGAAAAGGTTCCATAATGGGTTCAAAATACACCTGAAAGTTTCCTATCCTAGCCTCCTATTGTGGTTAGTGAGTTTGCTGGCCGGTGTGGGTGTGTTTGTGTGTGTCAGGTTTACGATGCTGGCGTTCTCTGAAGGGGTGTGTGTGTGGCAGCCGGCGCCGGTGGAGTCCAGTGAGGATCAGTGTGTGGAGGCAGTGCAGTGGTTGAGTCGACTCACTCCACACGGGCCTTCACACACACTGCAGGCACTGCAGGTACTCTCACAATAACTGCCTTCACACACACACACTCACACACACTGCAGGCACTGCAGGTACTCTCACAATAACTGCCTTCACACACACTGCAGGCGCTGCAGGTACTCTCACAATTACTGCCTTTATACACACTGTTATCACATGGCTTTCTGGAAAACATCACCGGGATTGGTCAATGGCTGCAGTGTGTGCTCAACTCAGCTTACTAATTTTTGTTATAAGAACATTTCCAAAATTTTTGTTTTGGTTATGGAAACTTTAAAATGTCCACGTTTACATGTTTAACCCTCCTGCAGTTCTCCTGTTTACAGCTGGTGTTAAGATGCGTTTTGGTGGATCGGATCACAGGTGGACGAGGGAAACATTCCCGTTCACACCTGGTGTTTCAATTCGTCACTTTTGTCCACTTTCAACCACTTCAGCTCAGATTTCTTCAAGAGGAGGGTCTACGGGCGGGAAATGGATGTGTTTTTCAGATCTTTTCATCTAATGGATGAAATAAGCTCACGCAATTTACATATGAACGTGACCAGAGATGACTGGACTGCTTGAAACCTTTTTCATCTTCAAACCAAACTTGGGTCTCAGCCGACATAGTTTAAACCCCGTCTGGCTAGAGCTCTTCTCATAATGTTTAGCATTAGTCCAGTAGAAGGTGTTTTTTTTGGCTGTTTGAACACATTTGACCACATGAGTGTTTACTCTAAGAAAGCAATTCAGTTGAATGTGTTTTCGACTACCTCTGGAAGTGTTTGAAAGTGGACAAGCTTAAAATATGTAATACCCCGTTTACACCAGTATTTAGCGTCGTCCACTTGTGATGCGATCGACTAAAACGCTTCTTAACTCCAGCTGTAAACAGGGCCTCAGTTGTTCTGGTGTTTGTGAGTAAGTGTGACTGTGTGTAACGCTTCTTAACTCCAGCTGTAAACAGGGCCTCAGTTGTTCTGGTGTTTGTAAGTAAGTGTGACTGTACACAGCAAAATTCCCAGTGTTAAATTAACACTCTCGGTGTTCATATAGGTCCAACTACAGGGTGTTAAAAATGAACACTGAAGCAGTGTTGAAGTTAATGAGATAATTAAGTGATTAATTAAGTGATGATTGGCCATTAGTGGTCACTCCCGATGTTAATAAGCAGAATCATTTAAGGAAAGAGAAACAACAAGAACGAAAAAAAGAGAAACACAAGAACTACTGACTTCGAGCCTTTTCACATTATTGCACTTATTATTACCAGTGTGACTTTATTTCTGTCATACATCTACAAAAGTTATTGAGATTCAACGGAAGTTTAGACGGCAATGTTTTATGGAATTTTTCATTTCAAGCCACCATTATGGTGGTCAGTGTTTGCTTTAGTTAGGCTCTTGACCCTTTTCATTTTTTATTGTTAGTTTTTCTCTGGCTGCTCCAACATTGTGTTTATAAAGCACATTTGATATTGCACGAGAGAACATGCCAACAGTATGTTGTGATGATGACATTATCATCACGTAGTGACCTGATTCACTGATGTCATTCAGAGTCTAGATCTTTGACTATATGATTGATGTTGTGTTTTAGTATGGGTGATTGTAGCCCTTAGATTTTACAGTTTGAGACCCAACAGCAATTATAACAATTTTGAAACTTTTTTGTGCACTGGAGCTCTTGTGTTTAGACACACAAACATCAAGAATCAGCATATGAATCACAACAATGGTGACAATAAACAAACTAGTGACACACAGATCAACTCTGAACATCACAAAACAAGCTATTAAAGTCATAACAAAACAATAGCAAAATAAAAACAAACAGGAAAAACAATGAAAATTACAGGACAATTCAGCTGTATAATTTATTCATACTGCAATGCATGATGGGAGCCATGGATGCATTTCGATTGGTGGCTCCCATCATGCACTGCAACATGAATATTTTATGTGATTGTCACCATTGTTGAGATTCATATGTAGATTATTGATATCTATGTGGTATTTTAAAACCTACAGATTATTAAAGCACTGCTGGAATTAGTTACTTTAATGAATATGAATAGAATCTTTGTATAATCAGTTTATAATGCTGGTCGAGTGAATCAGGACACTACAGGATGGTAATCTCATCATTTAAACATAACCATCATGACCTGGGCTGTGTTTCCCAAAAGCATTTTAAACCTAACTTGATCGTAGAACAATTGCAACAAAATGTCTGTACAATCAAATTAGGCTTAAGATGCTTTCGGAAACACAGCCCATGTCATGGTTTCTCCTGCAATAACACATGTGCTTTATAAACACAGAGATGGAGCAACCAGAGAAAAACTAATGTTAAAAAGCAAAGGGTCAAGAGCCCAACTAAAGCAAACACTGATCGCCATAATGGTGACATGAAATGAAACATTCCATAAAACATTACCATCTAAACTTCTGTTCAATATAATTAAGAATGTGTGTAGATTTATGACAGAAATACACTGGTAATAATAAGTACAATAATGTGTAATGGCTCGAAGTCAGTAGTTCTTGTTGTTTCTCTTTCCTTCAATGATTCTTCTTATTAACATTAGCTATCACCACTAATCATCACTTAATTATCTCATTAACTTCAACACTGCTTCAGTGTTCATTTTTAACACCCTGTAGTTGGACCTATATGAACACCGAGAGTGTTAATTTAACACTGGGAATTTTGCTGTGTATGTAACGCTTCTTAACTCCAGCTGTAAACAGGGCCTCAGTTGTTCTGGTGTTTGTGAGTAAGTGTGACTGTGTGTAACGCTTCTTTGCTCAGGCCGGCTGTGGTTTGTCAGATGATGTTGGTCTGTATCTGATCTGTGATGGAAGGAGTGACTCGAGCCACAGTCTAATACTGAGAGAGATCGAGACCCTGAGACGAGAGAAGAGCTTCACCGTCCACACCGTCGCACTCAACCGCCATGACAGGTCAACTATAAACGCCCGTTCACACCAACCACAATAACTATACAGATATAGTTCTGAAAATCATTCTCAATATTAAAGAATAGCAGAGTTCACACCTCGACTATAGCGATAACGGCACAGAGAAACAATATTCAATTCAATTTAATTCAAATTTATTTGTATAGTGCTTTTCACAATACAGATTGTTTCAAGTGCATTTCAGAAATGTACATAGAAAAAATACAGTTAGTTAATCATGTATTAATTTAGGGCATAACATATGCCAATACCGTTGGAATCACTTTCACAACGATTTTATCCAGATGATGAACGATAAAATCACTGACAGCCAATCAGAATCCATCCAGCTGTGGAGTTTGAGCATTTAAAGTGACATAAAAACACGTGCTTAAAATAAACAGAACGATACGGTCTGCTGGTGTCTACGCTAATCTTTATAGTTATCGTTTTTGGTGTGAACAAGCCTGCTGCAATGTTACTTTGGCAACAGATTTTGTGTTTTATGAATAAATGTTTTTTATGAGATTGGAATAATGTCTATGTATCAGCGAGTCAAAAAAACTCCTAAAATCAGTGACATACGGCGAGTGATTATTACACAGCAAAATCCTCAGTGTTAAATGAACACTGAGAGTGTGAATTATATAAACTCAGAGCAGAGTGTTAAATGAACACTGAAGCAGTGTTAAAGTTAATGAGACAATTAAGTGAATAATTGAGTGATGGTTGAGCATTATTGAAGACACCTGATGTTAACAAGCAGATTCACTGAAAGAGAAAAACAGATTTTTAACTCTCTGGGGTCGGCGGTCTCGCCGGCGATACCAGCTCACTTTTTTCCTTATCAGTGCAAAAGAGACTCAAATTACTCTGTTAATTTTGATCTTACATATAAGTGTTGTACATCATTCGATCCTGTTAAGTTTGTATTTTTTTTGTGGAACCTCATAATAAAAACAAAGTGTTGCGCTTTTCGCCTAATAAAGAAAAATAAACATGATGCGCGTTCTGCGTTCTCTCTGTCAGTGAAGTCCATTCTGAAACGCGTCCGAAAAATCATCTGTAACTCTGCAAATACTCAGTCAAACAGGTATACAGGCACACAGGCATGAAGCCTGAATTATCTTCTTTTAAATGAAGTAATTTATATAAAAAATTTTTTTTCTCATTTTATGTAATCTGTACGAAAAGAGAGAGATGATAGTCGTTCTCGTCTCAGCTCATTAAAGTTAATTTGACCACGCCCACGGAGCGCGCGCTCTATTCAAACACAAATGCTCTGAGGCGATCCACACCCACATCAGCTGGATAACCCACCGAAAGAGACTCTGAGAGACGCTGTGAGGAATAATAGTACTATCTTAATAATAACCCTCAGAAGTAGGCTACAGGTAGTTTCATTTGGAGGAGCAACGGATCCAGCCGAGGAAATAGGTACATTCTTTATTTTCAAGTGCTTTGTGCTAATCGCGATATGGAATAGTGTGTGTCTGTAAACAAAAAGACTGTTTGAATCGCGTTTTTGTGTGTGAATGAATGAACAGCTTTTACCTAACTATATTGCAATACTGAGATGAGTAAAAATCGACTGAAATATGTTGAAATAAAATATTTTTGTATAAGCAACGTATTAAACTGCAAATTAACATTTATATGTCCTAATCATAAAAACGATATGTTACATATGAAAGACAAGATGTCGTTTTTACTGTAAAATACTGCCACATCAAATAAGCTTGTTTGCTAAGATGTTATTATAGTATTTGTTCGATTGTAAGCTACACTGTAAAAAATTTACTGTAAAATTTACAGCAACTTACTGGCAATTTTGGTTGCCAGTAAGCCTGTAAATTTTACAAGATTACCGTAAATCATAAACTACAATTAACTGTAAAAAATACAGCACACCTGTAAAAGCAGAAAAACAAGAGCAGCTGTGAATTTACAGTTTTTTATTGTATTATTTACAGTATGATGATTTGATAATTTGAGGAAACCGATTATCTTAAATTGGTCAATTGACATTTCATATTTATACTGTGATTTTATTTCATTTGAGTCCAGTAAAAAAAAAAAAAAAAAAAAATTTAAATGAGTTAACAAACCATCTCTTTAACTCAATCCTCTTGCAGATAATTGTAAGTTAACAACAGCATACACCGGAATTGACGAACTTAACAAAAAGATCATCAATACATCAGCAACTACAGTCACTGCCTTTAAATAAAGCAACACACAGCATAACATCGGTGTTTCTCTGCTCCTCCTGAACTGAAGCACAGGCTCTACTCTTCAACACAATGGTGACACACAAAACGCAACAGAAACACTTTAAATCCCAACAGAACATTAAACACTAACAGATCTCCACTATATCATTATGTCCAAAAACACATAAAATCACACTTCATTTCAGCATTTACTCTCCTGAGCAGTCATTCATATAAATATATATTCACATTTCACATTTATTGTCACATAAATACATGCACAGAAAATAACTTATTTTGTTTAGTAAATTTGACTTAGATTGTATAGTAAACTACTGACTTTCAGCCACAGCCATATATTTAATCAACTGAAAAGAAATGAAGACAGTACATATCTAAAGATCTCAGCAGAGGAGGAGTAAAGAACTCATTAACAGCATCACTTGTCAAGGTCTTTTTGAGAATTAACTGAGGTTTAGATGTTGATGATTTATGGTTTAGTTTGTAGTCACCATGATGGTGATAAGTGTTGGCTTTAGTTGGGCTGTTACCCTTGACATTGCAACATTAGTTTTTCTCTGGCTGCTTTACCTGTGTGTTTATAAGGCACAACAGTTATAGCAATAAAGCCAAGCGAAAAGAATTCTGGTGACTCTGGCTGTGTATTGGTGATGTCATCAAAAGAGCTTACAGATCAGTAGCACCTCATTTCACCCAGAGTTGAATATCTTCTCAGTCATATGGTTCTTTCCATATAATTGATTAATATAGCGATTTTCCATAAGACAATTTAACAGCATTATCATTTGAATGATTTTAAAAACAATATGGCATAGATAGTTTAAAAAACATCATGTTATTGAGTCACACACAGACATCAACAATCAGCGTATGAATCTCAACAATGGTGACACTCAAATGAAACGCTTCATGTTGCAATGCATGCTGGGTATCACCTTAATACAGAACTCCCAGCATGCATTGCAGCATGCATAAAATATGCAGCTGAATTGTCTTATTTTCTTTTCTTCTTACCATGTGCTTTTATTTTTGTTGTTGTTTTTTGATGTGACTTTTTAGTAGCTTGATTTGTGATGTTCAGAGTTGATATATCTATATTATGTTTGTCACCATAGTTGAGGTTCATATGCTGATTCTTGATACACGTGTGTTCCAGTTGCTTGAAAGGTTTTGTGAATCTTATATATGTCAAACACAAATTACCTAATATAATCACAACTGAACATCATCATCATGCTGTAGAATCACACGACTATAACAATCAGTAAGGAGAAATTTATTATACCTCAATTTCATAATCAAAAAATTACTCTAATTAAGATCAGCCACTAGATGCTGTCAAGGCTGATATCAATAGACATCCATCAACACCTGAACATCATTTTACTTGACTTGTATTGCCATAACAAATTTGTCTTAAAGTCACCAATATGGTGATCAGTGTTTATTTTAGTTGGGCTCTTGACCCTTAAATCATTAATTTTAAATTGTATTTGATTGCTGTACCTGAGTTATAACAGCCAGAGGAACAAATAGAAAAAGGTGATCTGATGGTGTTGGTTGTGTTTTAACATAATCATTATTTGACCTGAATCACTGATCTCATTGAGAGCATAATTTCTAAGTCAAGTTTACCTTATGAATTATAGAGGCACTGTCATTGTAGAGCATACCGTTTTTATCCTTATCAATGAAATCCAAATGATCAAATCAATAAAAATTAAAAATTTCCAAAAAAAAGTTTATGTAGGCACACACAGACATCAAGAATTAGCAAATGAATCTCAGCAATGGTGTCAAACAGATCACCTCTAAACATAAGCTCATTATTTATTCATGCAGCAATGCATGATGGGAGCCATGCATGAGTTTTGATTAGTGACACCGACAATGCACTGCAACATGCTTTTTAATTGTCACCATTGTTGAGATTCACAGGCTGATTCTTGATGCCTGTGTCTAAAAAAGGTTTGTTTTAAATAAGCAAAAGTTTTAAGAAATTATTTGGATTACATTGTAGAAGTTAAAAACATTATGTTGTACAAGGACAGTGCTGCTTCAATTAATAAAGAAAACTGAATTCAGAAATTGGTCTGTATATGAATTCAGTGTTTCAGGTCAAAGATTGTGAAATAACAATTATGTTAAAACACAACCAACACCATCAGATCACCTTGTCTATAGGTTCATCTGGCTGCTATAATTCACGTACTGTAGCCAAACAAAATCTAAAGTTATTGATTTAAGGGTCAAGAGCCCAACTAAAACAAACACTGATCATCACAATGGTGACTTAAAATTCTGGTTTTCTCCTTCAGTGATTCTGCTTGTTAACATCAGGTGTCTTCAATTATGCTCAATCATCACTCAATTATTCACTTAATTATCTCATTAACTTTAACACTGCTTCAGTGTTCATTTAACACTCTGAGTTTATATAATTCACACTTTTCAGTGTTAATTTAACACTGAGGAATTTGCTGTGTACCATTCTCACTGATGCTTCCAAGACTATCACAACATCCTTGCAATTTTAACAAGTCCTCATCTATCAGATGTTTCCTAATATCATCTTTTTTTTTAAAGTCCAATTTTAGGGGGTATTTTCAACTAAAAACAGACAAAACAATATTTACACGACAACAGCGTTTTAGGGGCCTGAAAACACAAACTTTTGAAAACAGTTTTCTTTTTCATGTAAAATACAAACCGTGAATTTGTGTTTGTGAAACTGTGACGTCATGCGCATGTGTATTATGTGTTCAGTCTATAGATGTGTAATGTTTCTTTATAAAGTGACATCGCCATCTACTGGCCTGGCATGAGTAATACAGCGTTTTAGTTGTATTTACAGATCCATGTGAATGGGGATCATTTGGACAACATTGTTGTCTGTACTTAAAAAGTTTCAAAGTGCAAAGGAAAAACTTTAGCATTATTACACTGTTGTCATGTAAACATGCCCTTAGATGGTTTTCAAGCCACAGATCTTATGCAGTTTAAACTTAAATGGTTTATATGAACAAAGTAGAGCTGGGCGATATATCGCATGACATTGTTATGCGCATCTCTTCAGTAAAGCCGGTTCCTTGATTAGTAGTAAATCACCTTCACCTGCTTTCAGATGGAAGATATGATGCAGATATGAGTGTTAAATTAACACTCAAGAGTATTAAAGTTAATGAGATAATTAAGTGATTAATTGAGTGATAATTGAGCATTATTGAAGACACCTGATGTTATCAAGCAGAATCTCTGAAGGAGAAAATCACAAATTGTAAGCCACCGTTATGGCGATCAGTGTTTGCTTTAGTTGGACTCTTGACCCTTATACTTTCACTTTAAATTTTGTTTGTCTGCTGTTATTGATTTATAACAGCCAAATGAACAAGGAAAAGTGTGATCTGATAGTGTTGGTTATGTTTTGGCAAAATCATGCTTTGATCTGAAAAATGAAACTTAATGAGATGATTTGGTTTAATTTGTTAGCCACAGCTTTGTGATTCTGCAGAATATGATTATCAGTATTTTTCTTATAATCCAAAATTTTTAATTAACATTGTTTTGATCAAAACACTTTCAATTGAATTTCCATAGCAACACAGACATCAATAATCAGCCTGTGAATCTCAACAATGGTGACAATAATAATGCATGTTGCAGTGGGTGCCACCAATCACAACTCATTAATGGCTCCCATCGTGCATTGCGGTATGAATAAATTATAATCTGAATTGTCTATGTAATTTATTCTGCTCGTCACCAGTGTTGAGATGCATTGACTGAATCTTGTCGTCTGTGTGTGCCTGAAAGACAGACTTTTTTTTAAACAACTTTTAAGAAATCCTTTATATTATATCTAAATTTATTTATGCAGAATCACAGTTATGCTGTAACCAACAGCATAAATCACAAACAAAAAGTTCAAATGATGATTGTCATAATACAACCATCACCATTAGATCACTTTTGTTCTTTGTTGAGCTGGTAGTTATAACTCAGATACAACACACAAACTTAATTTAAAGTTAATAATATAAGGGTCAAGAGCCCAACTAAAGCAAACAATGATCGCCATAACGGTGGCTTACAATTCTGCTTTAGGTGTCTTCAATAATGCTCAATCATCACTCAATTAATCACTTAATTATCTCATTAACTTCAACACTCTTGAGTGTGGACTCATATACACTCCCAGGAGTGTTAATTTAACACTGGAGTTTTTGCTGTGTACAAAGACCCGTAGTTAACTGACAAGCTGAGCCATATCGCATCAATTATCGCTGGCGATATGTCCGCGATATTAATGTGATATGGCTCAGCTTGTCAGTTAACCCTCTGGGGACCAGAAACGCGCCGGCGCGTTTTGCTCGTTTTTTTTCACATAGCAGAAAAATAGACTTAAAGTACTACCATCATTTCTGTTCATATAGAGTTAAGAAATATGAGAAAATAATCTGTTAAATGTCTACTTTTTTATGTGCCCACATACAATCGAAATAAAATATTGTGCTTTTGTAAAATAAAGAAAATAAACAGGGTGTGCGTTCTGCCTCTCGGTCACCGTGAACTTTTTTTCTGGAGCACGTCTCTAATCTTCAACACAACTCAGCTAATACTATTCACCCAGCCATAAGCAATATATCTTTTAAATCATTTGAGTTTGTACTTTTAAATGATCCGATTCAAAACTAAAATTATTATTCTCCGTTTATGTCATCTATATAAAAAGAGAGACGTGTCAGCCCATCTCATTATCGTTCTCTCAGCTGATTATCTGTGGTAATGTGACACGCCTACGGAGAGCACGCGCTATTCAAACGCAAATATGTGAAGCAACACATTGAGACGCGTTAACGCCCATAAACTCTGAAAACACACATTATTTTTTAGTCAGATTAATCTACTGTCGTCTTGCGCGGCTATATGTGGAACAATCCTGGGACATTTACCACTGGGTTATTTTCACTTCGAGGATGAACAGATTCAGCTGAGAAGTAAGTGTTTTTTGCAAGTGCTTTGTTCTAATCGCGATATAGAATAACGTAGTGTCTGTAAACGGAAAAATAGCATACTGTTAAATGTGAATCATGTTTGTGTCACACAGTTTGTGTGTGTGTGTGTGAATGAATGAATGAACGCACAGATACGCACTGTTACAGACTAAATAACAGACAACATTTCGTTGACTCGTTTTGGATAAAGTTTTTACTCTAAAATAGACATCAAATAAGCTTTTTTAGGAGTTTCTGCTCATATGTTAAATATATAGTATGTTTTGTCAATAAACTAATCAACTAAGATGTTATAGTGTTTGTTCAAGCTATATCAAAATAATGAATCCTCAACTTTGAAATATGTATGATCAAACTAAGACATTTATGGAGAAAGACAATTTTCTTTTCAAGATGTTTCCAACTCTAACTTTGAACTGAAATAAAACCATGTCTATATGGTGAAGGGTGTGTGATAGAAGTGTCCAGACGTATGCACCCTGTATTTTCCTTATAATATCCAAACAATCTAAAAGCCATTCTTTTTTAAATCTCCTCATTCTTTGTGCAAGGCTCCTGTAATGATATGGCCTGATAGCACCTAATAGGGCCATTATGGGAGGGTCTTTGTCTTTCTCAGGTGTGGAATGCCATACATATTAATGAGAGATCAAGCCTCCTGCATAAAGCTTTCTCAAACAAAACACGTCATTAAAAATGTAAAAGACTTTATTGACTTATCTGAATGAGTAGTCAGGATGATTCTCACATAGTTTTGGAGCAAATATTCTAGGCTATGTGATACAATTTTCAAAAGTCTTGTGAAGAAATAATCAATATGTGTTTTGTGGTCTTATTTCAGCAACTTTCATTTTTATTTTTTTCAATAACCACGCATAAACATTATTCTATTAAAAATACAAACATGTACATACATGTTGCTCAGATCTCATGGTAGCCAAGTTTGTGCTATATAGAGTGAATTTACACCTTTGCCATTAACATGTTTATAAATAACTGAAAAAAGCACAAATGTCAGTGCATGTCAAAACATCCCAAGGGCCCCAAAAACACTCTGGTCCCCAGAGGGTTAACTACGGTTCTTTGTAGTAAATGCCGCTCCATCTGAAAGCAGGTGAAGGCGATTTACTACTAATCAAGGAACCGGCTTTACTGACGAGATGCGCATAGCAATGTCATGCGATATATCGCCCAGCCCTAGAACAAAGCGGACTTTATGTGTCTAAGATTTAAAATTCTTCAACTGAAGTTTCAGCGCTTACACTTAGAATGTCTAAAGTGGACTATTGAAGTAAAGTGTGTTTAACTAATGTAACTAATAGTGTGATGTTTGTGAACAGATCGGGCAGTGAGTTTCTGAAGTGTCTGGCCCATAAAACAGGAGGCCGATTCCATCAGGCTCCTGAAAACACAGATCCGGATCTGATCGGGAAACTGCTGTCAGACGCAGTGCGTATATGTGCTCAACACTTCTGTTATATCACCATTCTGCAGGAGTGTGTGCTGTTCAACTCGTTCAAATGCATTTCTGCAGATTCTTTGTGATGAAGTGTGTTGATTCTTGTATTTCCACAATCAAAGGATCCAGTGCTTCCAACATTTGAGGGGGACGATCTGAGGAAACTATCAGAAGAGATTGAGAAGCTGAGATTGTTCCAGAAACAAGCTAAATCTTTCAGGTGTGTGTTCATTCAGGCAACAGTGCTTATGTATGGAAGCCCGTTTCCGCCCCAGTTGAGTAAAAAAATAACTTGAGAAAATTAGAAACTTTCTCATAATAATGACTTAACATCTCTATAGTTATGACTCATTATGACTTACAGAATTATATTTTTTCTCATCTGTGGCGGAAACAGGATTCCATACTTATGTAATGATTGATGTTATTGTGGACTTTTTAATATAGTGACTTGTCTTTTGTTTTCATAGGGAAACTATTCTGGGGTCGAGGAACCTGGAGGGAACGTAGACGCTGATCTCCATGCATGTTCAAATCACTTTATTCAGAATAAACCACTATGGAGTAAAACATGTGGTGAAATAAATATAGTGTGTTTCACTCACTAAAACATCTAACTAATTTAATAAGGCCTAATGTAAGAATATTTGATAACACTTTATTTTACAGTGTCCTTGTTACACATTTTACATGTAGTTACTGTAGTAATAACTATAAATTATGTATAATTACACACAACTAACCCTAAACCAAAGCAATTCCTAACCCTATAGTAAGTACATATAGTTCAATATTAATATACACTATTATTACTCAGAAATAATCTCAACTCAAGAATAATATTTTGGAAACATATTGTAAATAGCTATCAGTTATAAAAAGTATGGTTGAATGAAATGTTGCATGTTCGCTAAATGCGTCTGCAAAGATTTTAGTTAAAGTCATGTTTTTAATTAATTCACTATTACACATTAAGTGTTTGCAGTTTAATATTAAAAGATATTAATTTTCAGTGGACTCAAATTAAGTAACTTCACTGTACTAGTTTTCAAACTCGAACTGTTTGAAGCAATCGGTTTCACAAATGACCTTCCATTGTATTTTTACGGTAACATACTGTAAAAAAAGCTGTATATTAACGGTAGAGGGCTGTAAATTAACAGTACATTAACAACCACAGCTGCCAGTAGATTACCATTATTTTATAGCTCAATTTTTTACAGTGTATGGTAAATTGCCTGTATTGGCTGTAAATGGTCTTTACATGATGTCAGTGGTTAAATGCTTGGTAAATAAAACTTAATGTCTTTTTAGTTTTACGCATTTGTGTTTAAAGACCTTAATTGCTTGAACCCAGATAAATGCTGCTTGCAGCATTACTTATTATTACCATTGTTGTATTTATATTCCCCCTAAATGACTAAGTATTCCATCACACATCTCCATAACCTTCATAAATCATAAGATTTATCATTTCCTTCAGGTTTTGAGCGCTGTCCACTGGTTAAAAGCTTCAGGGGGAGTCCGTGGCAAGCTCAGTCTTGGGTCAGGGTGCTCTTGAGGCTTGATGTGTTATCCAGGTTCAGATAAGAGGTATGAAGAAAAATTACTCTGAGACTTGTTTAAGGGGGGGTTTACGAATCACCACATTCAATGGTTTCATTTTAATAACAAAGTACAGAATAAAAAAATCAACATAAAAAATACGAGAAGTCTTCACCCCGAGGGTTTGGCCTCGAACAGTCAGAAGTTTCACAATTTAAACTCAGGGGTTACACGGTTTTCCCCTAGGCACAGCATTGACATAACAGAAATACAGCATACAACAAGCATTCAGTTTAGACACCTTGGGTTCCTGGAACCTTGCAGACAACTTTTTTATCTTTGGTCATTTTTTTCTGAGGTACTACAGCAAATTTTTCTTTGAAGATGTGAGATGAGAGGTATTTCTCTGGTGCTCCTCGCGTGTCAGTCAAAAAACTTTTTTTTTTATTATTTCAATTAAGTTAATGTACTATATTTCAGTATGATAATGTTTTTTATGTAGTATTTTGTATTTTTAGGGGATTTTTTTATTTTTATTTTATTTATGCTGTATTTATAATCCATTTATTCAAATTAAAATTTCCAGCTTAAACTGTCGTAAATCTTGAATGCTTTAGAGCAGTGGTTCCCAAACCTGTCCTGGCGACCCACCAACACTGCACGTTTTCTTTGTCACCCTAATCAAACACACCTGATTCAACTAGGGCTGGGCGATATATCGCACGATATTGTTATGCGCATCTAGCCGGTTCCTTGATTAGTAGTAAATCGCCTTCACCTGCTTTCAGATGGAGCGGCATTTACTACAAAGAGCCGTAGTTAACTGACAAGCTGAGCCATATCGCATATCGCGGACATATCCCAGCGATAATTGATAATTGACGGCTCTTTGTACACAGCAAAAAGTCCAGTGTTAAAGTAACACTCCTGGGAGTGTATATGAGTCCACACTCAAGAGTGTTGAAGTTAATGAGATAATTAAGTGATTAATTGAGTGATGATTGAGCATTATTGAAGACACCTAAAGCAGAATCAGTGAAGGAGAAAATCTAAAATTGTAAGCCACCGTTATGGCGATCATTGTTTGCTTTAGTTGGGCTCTTGACCCTTATATTATTAATTTTAGATTTAGTTTGTGTGTTGTATCTGAGTTATAACTGCCAGATCAACAAAAAACAAAAGTGATCTAATGGTGATGGTTGTAATATGACAATCATCAACATATGAACTTTATGTTCGTGATTTATGCTGTTGGTTACAGCATAACTGTGATTCTGCATAAATATCCAGAAATTTAGATATAATATAAAGGATTTCTTAAAAGTTGTTTAAAAAATAGTCTGTCTTTTAGGCGCACACACAGACATCAAGATTCAGTCAATGCATCTCAACAATGGTGACGAGCAGAATAAATTACATAGACAATTCAGATTATAATTTATTCATACCGCAATGCATGATGGGAGCCATTAATGAGTTGTGATTGGTGGCACCCACTGCAACATGCATTATTATTATCACCAGTGTTGAGATTCACAGGCTGATTATTGATGTCTGCGTTTCTAAAGAAATTCAATTGAAAGTGTTTTGATCAGTACAATGTTAATTAAATATTTTGGATTATAAGAAAAATACTGATAATCATATGCTGTAGAATCACAAAGCTGTTGCTAACAAGTTAAACCAAATCATCTCATTAAGTTTCATTTTTCAGATGATTATGATTATGCCAAAACATAACCAACACTATCAGATCACACTTTTCCTTGTTCATTTGGCTGTTACACATCAAAAACAGCAGACAAACAAAATTTAAAGTGAAAGTATAAGGGTCAAGAGTCCAACTAAAGCAAACACTGATCGCCATAACGGTGGCTTACAATTTGTGATTTTCTCCTTCAGTGATTCTGCTTGATAACATCAGGTGTCTTCAATAATGCTCAATCATCACTAAATTAATCACTTAATTATCTCATTAACTTTAACACTCATATCTGCATCATATCTTCCATCTGAAAGCAGGTGAAGGTGATTTACTACTAATCAAGGAACCGGCTTTACTGAAGAGATGCGCATAACAATGTCATGCGATATATCGCCCAGCTCTAGATTCAACTCATTAGCTCATTAACCCATGTGATAATGAGCTGATGAGTTGAATCAGGTGTGTTTGATTAGGGAGACAAAGAAAACGAGCAGTGTTGGTGGGTCGCCAGGACAGGTTTGGGAACCACTGCTTTAGAGCATAGACTGAAGTTTGATCTCTTTTCAAAAACGACACTTGGCAGATTATTGCTGGAGTGAAAACATTTTAAAGAAGAGACTTAAAAAAAGTTACAGAATTTTACATTTATTGTTATGAAAATGTTTTATATGACATATTTTCCAAAATATGTTTTACTAAAACTGAGAAAATCAAAGCCATAAATCTAAACAATTTCAAAATTTTAGCCTGCTATCTAAAATAAGCTTTCAGTCAGAGTTTTTTTTGGCTGCAGTACCAAACGCTTCAACTAGATGAAATTAGTCTCTCATTAATTTCCAATGTGCTCATTCTTGACTGCGAGGAGCACAACTGTGACTATTTTTTTAGGACCATTTAACCTGTTCGAATCATGTTCATGATTTTTGTTGTATTCACATAGCAAGTGCCAAAACTTTTACCAAGTTTAGTAACATTCCTATTAAGAAGAAAAAAAACAAATGTAGAATTTTTTGGTCAAAAATGACCGAAGAGCACCAGAGCGTTACTTTACTCAATCAGTTTTTTACTCGAATCCAAAATCTCTATCATCATATTTTTCTCATCCGAACTGGGTGTATATGATGCGTGAGACTGTGGGATGTGTCTGTTGAGAACAACACTGCACACCAGCGCCACCATCTGGGGAAGAGCGGGAACACATAAAGACAAACACACAAAGACAGACAATCAGCATGTGTGCAACACTGGACACACTTCCAGATTCAGATGGACTCACCATGATCCCTGCCATTCCTAGAAACCCTCCCACCACCATTGGCGCCTTTGAGTTGAACATGCCCTGGATCACACTGGGACAGGTCTAACAAACACACACACACACACACACACACACACACACACAGAGATGAGTGTCTGCTTCGTTCCTAAAACATCACACATGCAGAAATAAAAGTAAAGACCCCTTCACACCATGGTTGATAACTATAACAATAAAGATACAGTTTACAGTAAAAATTTACAGATACAGTAAAAATCTTTCTAAATGTAAAAGAATCCACAGCACAACTACACAGATAACGCACAGAGGAACAATATTGTGGAATCACTTTCAGAATACATTTTTTCCAGCTGATGAACGATAAAAAACATTGACAGAGAATCAGAATCCATCCTGCTTTAAAGAACTGAATTTTTAAGACTAATATACAACTACAGCACTCTTAGAATAAACTGAACATCCACCTTTGTGGATACTAATGCGCAAAGCTTCTAGGTTGAACGTTGAGTCTGCGTGTGACGTACAACACGCCCAGCCAGCACAGCCATGTGGGGCCCACATGGGTCTGACGTGGGCTATCTAACTGGGACCCAGACAGTTTTGTAGTGATGTTAGGTCTGACACCGACGCTCCGAAGCTTGCTTCAAACTCGATCGGTCCTTGCAATGAACCACTGCTTCGGAGCTTGTATCATTACGTCACTAGTCACGTGAAAATGACGTCTGAACACAGCAAAATTCCCAGTGTTAAATTAACACTCTCGGTGTTCATATAGGTCCAACTACAGGGTGTTAAAAATGAACACTGAAGCAGTGTTGAAGTTAATGAGATAATTAAGTGATTAATTAAGTGATGATTGGCCATTAGTGGTCACTCCCGATGTTAATAAGCAGAATCATTTAAGGAAAGAGAAACAACAAGAACGAAAAAAAGAGAAACACAAGAACTACTGACTTCGAGCCTTTTCACATTATTGCACTTATTATTACCAGTGTGACTTTATTTCTGTCATACATCTACAAAAGTTATTGAGATTCAACGGAAGTTTAGACGGCAATGTTTTATGGAATTTTTCATTTCAAGCCACCATTATGGTGGTCAGTGTTTGCTTTAGTTAGGCTCTTGACCCTTTTCATTTTTTATTGTTAGTTTTTCTCTGGCTGCTCCAACATTGTGTTTATAAAGCACATTTGATATTGCACGAGAGAACATGCCAACAGTATGTTGTGATGATGACATTATCATCACGTAGTGACCTGATTCACTGATGTCATTCAGAGTCTAGATCTTTGACTATATGTTTGATGTTGTGTTTTAGTATGGGTGATTGTAGCCCTTAGATTTTACAGTTTGAGATCCAACAGCAATTATAACAATTTTGAAACTTTTTTGTGCACTGGAGCTCTTGTGTTTAGACACACAAACATCAAGAATCAGCATATGAATCACAACAATGGTGACAATAAACCAATTAGTGACACACAGATCAACTCTGAACATCACAAAACAAGCTATTAAAGTCATAACAAAACAATAGCAAAATAAAAACAAACAGGAAAAACAATGAAAATTACAGGACAATTCAGCTGTATAATTTATTCATACTGCAATGCATGATGGGAGCCATGGATGCATTTCGATTGGTGGCTCCCATCATGCACTGCAACATGAATATTTTATGTGATTGTCACCATTGTTGAGATTCATATGTAGATTCTTGATATCTATGTGGTATTTTAAAACCTACAGATTATTAAAGCACTGCTGGAATTAGTTACTTTAATGAATATGAATAGAAGCTTTGTATAATCAGTTTATAATGCTGGTTGAGTGAATCAGGACACTACAGGATGGTAATCTCATCATTTAAACATAACCATCATGACCTGGGCTGTGTTTCCCAAAAGCATTTTAAACCTAACTTGATCGTAGAACAATTGCAACAAAATGTCTGTACAATCAAATTAGGCTTAAGATGCTTTCGGAAACACAGCCCATGTCATGGTTTCTCCTGCAATAACACATGTGCTTTATAAACACAGAGATGGAGCAACCAGAGAAAAACTAATGTTAAAAAGCAAAGGGTCAAGAGCCCAACTAAAGCAAACACTGATCGCCATAATGGTGACATGAAATGAAACATTCCATAAAACATTACCATCTAAACTTCTGTTCAATATAATTAAGAATGTGTGTAGATTTATGACAGAAATACACTGGTAATAATAAGTACAATAATGTGTAATGGCTCGAAGTCAGTAGTTCTTGTTGTTTCTCTTTCCTTCAATGATTCTTCTTATTAACATTAGCTATCACCACTAATCATCACTTAATTATCTCATTAACTTCAACACTGCTTCAGTGTTCATTTTTAACACCCTGTAGTTGGACCTATATGAACACCGAGAGTGTTAATTTAACACTGGGAATTTTGCTGTGAAGCAAACACACTGGTTCACTCCTGTAGTGAACCACCTGACTGCTTTGACAGCCCGATCCAGTGTTGACAGATTTGAAACCTGGCGGCTGTATTTCTTATAAAAGTGAAGCCAAACCATGGCAACACCGTGGGTTGTAGTAGTCAGTGTTTGGATTGGCGTTATTGTTGAGGAGAGTGGATTTTATTTTTTATTATTAATTAGAGAACATATGAACATTGTTACATAAAAACATCAAAGACAGAAACTTCAAAAACCCTCTGCTACATTATACAAGTACAACCAGTTACACAAGCACCTCCTTTTCAACATACAAAAATATCAGTCCCACCAGTTAAGTTATAGAGTTCTGCTTCCTACAGCTAAACAAGATAAAGCTTTCACACATGATGCTTCCCTGCTAAAAAAAACTATAGAAAACATTACAGAAATTCTATTGGATTTAATGGTTTACATTATGGAATTTTATTGGTTTTCATAGGAATTTTATTGGTTGTAATGGGAATTATAGTGGTCTCTGTGGGTCTCTGATATGTGTTGGGTTATATTGGTAGGGGCATTAAATCCTAATGGAATATGTCCCAAACACACTACAAAAAAGAAATTATTTTATTTTATTATTTTATTTATTCTTTTATATTTTATTCTATTATCATTTTAATAGAAACCATTAGAATTTCTGTGATGGTTTCCAACTTTTTTTAATCTGGTCTGATCTTCTGTCTTTGTCTAAAGAAATAATTACACACACACATTATGCTTAATGTTTTATTATCAAGGTGAACACATGAAATTCATCAGTATCTGTAAAATTCACCTACATAAATGAGTTTCACAGCACTAACACTGTTTCAGCTTTGATCGCCTCGGTAAACACGTAATAAACGGGGCGTTAACATAAGCCTACTGGCATTTTATGGTTGTCAGCTTTGTTGCATTACATTTACTTCACCAGGAGATGGTGCTGCAATTTCTCTCTGAATGAAGCTTCGAGTAATGAATCATTTTCGACACAATTGTATCAGAAAGCAATAATGCTTCGAAACGCTTCATTTGGCCATCACTACAGTTTTGCTCCCGGTTTCCATGTAGGCCCCACATGGGTTTGCCCAGATAAAATGAACACTGCTCAGTGTGCACACTACAGGCTGTTAAATGTAACACTGATCAGTTTTGGAGTTAATGAGATAATTAAGTGATTGAATAATGATTGAGCATTATTGAAGACACCTGATGATAACAAGCAGAATCACTGAAGGAGAAAATCACAAATTGTAAGCCACCCTTATGGCGATCAGTGTTTGCTTTAGTTGGGCTCTTGACCCTTAGACTTTCACTTTAAACTTTGTTTGTCTGCTGTTATTGATTTATAACAGTCAAATTAACACAGAAAAGTGTGATCTGATAGTGTTGGTTATGTTTTGGCAAAATCATGCTGTGTTCTGTTAAATGAAACTTATTGAGATTATCTGGTTTAACTTGTTAGTAACAGCTTTGTGATTCCACAGCATATGATTAACAGTATTTTTTTAATCCAAAATATTTAATGAACATTGTTCTGATCAAAAGACTTTCAAATTAATTTATTTAGAAACACAGACATCAATAATCAGCCTGTGAATCTCAACAATGGTGACAATAATAATGCATGTTGCAGTGGCTGCCACCAATCACAACTCATTAATGGCTCCCATCATGCATTGCGGCATGAATAAATTATTATCTGAATTGTCTATGTAATTTACTTTTCCTAATTTAATATTGTTGAGATGCATTGACTGAATCTTGACGTCTGTGTGTGCCTAAAAGAAAGTTTTTTTTTTTAAACAACTTTTAAGAAATCCATGATAACATACTGCCAGACTGATTCATTTATTATGATAACCTGGTTTGTGTACATCAAGTTCAAATAAAAAGAAAAGAAATCAAATAAAGAACCTCTCATTTGAACTTCAAAAATGTATTTTTTTTAACACTGCACAGATTTATATAAAATGTAAATTATTTTGATGAATTTGCTTAAAAAAAACTGATACGGTACCCTCACCTATTACCAGTTCACCTATATATTCTATATTTATAATCTTTTCTCTTTAATTTTGCCTCTGTCCCAACTTTTTTGAGTGTCTTGTAGCCATGAAAATATATAGGCTTATAGGAATAATTGTAACCACAGTTATAATACATTATAATACTTATCTATTCATTGAACACATACATAAGCCATTAAAACACATGACAATCAACAAATTTCAGATGTGAGAAGGAATCTGCAAATATTATAATGCATTTTAACTTTGGTGTACCTTTACGTTACCTTTGTGCGTAATGCTTTATAAAGGCTTCAGCTAAAGTGTTGGCATTATTATTTCCTAACTGAAAAGTGTTGGATGTGTGAAAGCACTTCGGCTCGTGGGTCGAGAGCTCTCAGACCTTCTCTATGGAGCTGATGGTGACTCCCGCTGCACAAGAGACGATGAGATGACGGTCCTCGATGTCTGGCCCGATCTCGTCCAGAACGAAGGGAATGATGTGTGGCTTGACCGCGAGGAACAGGACATCGCTCTTCTTCACAGTCTCTTTATTGCTGGTCGTGAAGGATGCTCCCATTTTCTGAAGTACAGAGAAAGTGTGTGTTTAAAGATGTTCATCAGACTCTCACGTGTGTCAGATGAAACACTCACTCTTAGCCCGGCGACGGTCAGCAGGTCTTTGTCGGGAGAGCTCGCTGTTATCCTGTGCGTGGCGATCACACCTGATGGACAGGAGAGGGGAACGGAAAAGCTTCCTTAAAGTATTGATGAGAATGTGATTCTATGTTAAAGGGTAAATCTAGTTAAGTCGAGGTACTACACGCATATATAGTCATAATAGCCGAAAGTTATAGTATATATTAGTTATATTACTGGTCAAAAGTTTGGACACATTACTAATGTTTTTGAAAGACGTCTGCATTTATTTGATCAAAAATACAGACAAAAATACAACATATTGTGAAATAGTATTACAATTTAAAATAAGGGTTTTCTATTTGAATTTATTTTAAAATATAATTTATTTCTGTGTTGAAAAGCTGAATTTTCAGCATCATTTCTCCAGTCTTCAGTGTCACATGATCCTTCAGAAATCGCTCTAATATGATATTTGATGATCAATGTTGAAAACAGTTGTGCTGCTTACATTTTTTATTACCTATGATACTTTTTTTCAGCATCCTTTGATGTATAAAAAGACAAAAAAACAGCATTTATTCAAAATAGAAATCTTTTCTAACAATATAAATTGTTAACTATCACTTTTTATCAATTTTCTAACAATATAAATTGTTTACTCTAACTTTTTATCAATTTAACGCATATGTGCTGAATAAAAGTATCAATTTCTTATAAAAAAATAATAATAATAAAAGAAAAAAGACTGAGCGCAAACTTTTGAACGGTAGTGTAGGCTATTGTAACAAAAGATTTCTACTTCTTTGCATGCACATATAATAAGATAACATTTAATCATGTTAAAATAAGAGACTTCTAATTGTACTCTGCTTTGATATTGCTTGGGAGAATATAAACTTTTGAAAAATATTTTTTCACTAGCATTTTATTGGCGGTTTTATCATAAAAAGAGCAAGTGTGTTGATTTACATACATTAGGTTTTATTCACTGATCTATATAGAAACTTTTATGAGACTATTTTCTTGCTCTCTGTTTAACTATCGGTAGCTTACTTTATTAGAGACTTTAAATTAGAGTCTGTTTTCATTTTCATAAACAACTTTTTGAAAATAAATAGTTCTGATAATTACCAACTACCAAGACAGAGATCATTACAGTGTGTCTATATTATTTGATATAATGTGCTTATTTAATAAAACGATGCCTACTTCAGACATTTAAAAAATGAATAATGGGCATATTTAAGTGTATTTAATACAGAAAAGTCTTATTTTGTTCCAGATGATTAGTGTTTTGGCGCCTCTAGCGGTCGGTGTGTGTAAATGCTGTAACGTTACCTGCCAACGCGAAGCCCTTCACCAGCGCATGCGCCAACTGACCCGCTCCGATGAAGCCAACGCTCATTTTGACCTACTAACAACCACACGATGACCATTCACCAGCAAACACAAATACACAAGTTAACAATCATTATACAAACTCTAATATAGATCAGCTGAGGTAATATCTGGACAGAGTCTGCTTACTGAACACTTTTCTATTTCTTGATCGGACCGAACCAGCTGTGAATTTCTATTCACGACATATGTGTGGCGGCGGGCTGGGCCTCCCCGTCCACCTTTGTCAGGTTTTATAACCTAGAACTTCCCGCTCTGCAGGCAAAACTTCTGTCAGTTTAGGTGAGATGTACGTTCTGTACAAAAAAGTTTGTGCGCAGGCTACTCTCACGTATTCTAGCTCTTCTGGTTGAGCTGCACTAATGGGTAAATGCTATATGCTTATGCAGACCGGCGACGCCGCTCTGTATTCCCTATGAGTGCTTATGTCCAAGTGCTGGCCCGCGTTGCTGGCCACCTTATTTTCCCAATTATTTGGGTTCCCCGGAAAACCCTGGGACTCATGTGTGGATGCTTGGCGCGCACGGCGTTGACAAGGGGTTCCCGTAGCGTAAGCTAACTTACGCAATACGAGAGAACCTCTCGTAAGAGAACGTATCGGTTACCTAACGTAACCTCGGTTCCCTTTCGTTGTCACTCCGAGTTCCGTCAGATGACGACGAATGGGGGTTTCGCTTAGCCTATCCGCTTCGAGTAATACAAAACGAGCCAATGGCAAAGAAATGCCATGGGTCTGCAGAATTTGCATGGAGCAGCTCCACCCCACCTCGTGGGTATAAAGGGCGGAAATTCCAGCAAAGCAGTATGTTTTCGCTTCGGAGCCAAATTGATCCTTCGTTCCACAGGCCATTCCTGAAGTTGTCAGTTCTACAGACAAGCGAGATTCTCTGGTGTTGGTGTGACGGCGATCTCCGGCGAGCGCGCGCTTCCTGCCTATCTGTCTGTGATTCGACAGCGAGTGTGTCTCCCCGGGCGCTTCAACACAGTCAGAGTTTCTTTCCTCTCACAAAAGAGCTTGCACGTGGCACGTCTTTTTAAAGATGCATCGCCCGTGCACTTCTGGTTGCGGTAGACTCGTTGACATCTCTGATGGGCACGAGCGTTGCATAGTGTGTTTGGGCATTGATCACGCTAGAGCAGCGCTCGTGGATGACTCATGTTCTCTCTGCGGGGACATGACCATCGCAACATTACGGTCGAGACTCAGTGATCTCGCAAGAGTGAGAGTCCCCTCATCCACCCCCCGTTCTACTGGTTCTAGAAATAGAGCTGGTACTTCGGCTGGTGGCCAGGGTGATCTGAGGGTGACGGTTTGGAACAAAGCGCCGACTATCAGTCCGTGCCCAGCCCCACCCTCTCCAGTGTTGCAACCCGTGAGTGCTCAGGGGATTTCCGCGGGACCATCTTCGGATGCCCCGCGGGTTTCCTTTGGCGCTCCAGAGGAGGACGCGATGTCTATCGCAGCATCACAAGGTGGGTCTGAATCTTCTGGAAGTGAAGACTCAGCGCAGCTGCCACCTGCCGGTGTGCATACGGTTGTGCCTGAGTCGGATCCGGAGATGACGGCCATGCTTGCCCGGGCCGCCGCGAGCATCGGGTTAGAGTGGTCCCCTCCACCCTGTCCCGAGCGCTCGCGGTTGGATGATTGGTACTTGGGTAAGGCCGCGGACCCCCGTCCGCGGCAAACCCTAATACCTTTCTTCCCGGATGTGCATGATGAGATCTCAAAGTCCTGGAAGACCCCCAGCTCTTCCCGTGACCGCTCGTTGGTCTCATCCGCCTTTCCTCCCCTCGATGAGGCGGCTGCCCGTGGGTACGCTGGGCTCCCCCGGTTGAACGCTCTGTTGCGATGCAACTGTGTCCTCAGAGTGCTTCTTCTCGTGGTGAGCCTAAGCACCCATCCAAAGCCTGTAGGTACTCGTCTACGCTTGTGGCGAAGTCCTACAGAGCGGCGGGACAGGCAGCCGCCTCTTTGCATGCCATGGCCATTCTGCAGGTCTACCAGGCCCAGATGCTCAGGGACATGCACGAGGGTAGGACAGACCCAGGGCTCTTCAATGAGCTGCGTGCCACCACCGACCTTGCTCTCCGAGCGACGAAGGTGACCGCACGCTTCCTGGGTTTGGTGATGTCCACAGCCGTGGTCCAGGAGAGACACCTGTGGCTGAATCTTGCTGACATGCGGGATGCCGAGCGGTCTCGGCTGCTCGACACCCCCATTTCACAAGACGGCCTCTTCGGCGGAGCAGTCGAGGACTTCGCCCAACAGTTCTCGACTGCACAGAAACAGACTGAGGCGATCAAGCACATTCTGCCCCGACGGCCCGCTGCTGCCTCCACCCAGCCGACCGGGCAGAATACTCAGTCTGTTCGCCGCCGAGGGCGCCCTCCTGCGGCTCCCGCCCCTCCCGCCCGGCCCAAGCAGCAGCCTTCACCTGGGCCCGGTCATAGGAGGAAGCCGCAAGAAGGCGCCCCAGCCCTCTCCTGCCCCGCCCCCCGCTAAACACCGGGCCAAGCGGCGCTCCTGCGACGGGCTGCTCAGGGATGATGTTCACTTCTCGGGAGATGGTAGCAGGACCACTCCTTCCCCCGGTGGAGGGCCGAGGGAGAATCTTTTGTTCCACCGCTGCTCACCCACGGGTGGGCAGCACCCTTATGTGGTTAAAGAAAGAAGTGACACATTCATCCCTGAGCACACAGAGTTCTCGGACGACACGGTGCGCCGCCCCCGGGCCGTGCACCCCTCGTCCTCCTCTGTCCCAGAGCCGGATGACAGTGCGCGCCATCCCCGGTCTGCTCTGTCAGGACGCGGTCAATGACTGTGCCCCCACACCGGGCCGCTATGCCGTCCACGTCTGGGCCAGTCATTCCGCCTCGCTGCACCACCGGTGGGAAGTCTGTAGTTCGTTTGATCCCGCTGGTACAGTCGTTGGGAGCTTGGCAAGAGCTTCCCAACCTGTCCCGCTGGGTCGCTCGAACAGTCAGGCTCGGCTACGCGATTCAGTTCGCGCGGTCTCCTCCCCGCTTCAGGGGAGTCCGCTCCACTATGGTCGGTGGCAATGCCCCTATCATGAGAGCGGAGGTTGCTACCCTGCTGGCGAAGGGTGCGATCGAGACTGTCCCTCCAGCCGAAATGAGGTCCGGCTTCTACAGCCCGTACTTCATTATCCCCAAGAAAACTGGTGGGTTACGGCCAATCCTGGATCTGCGCGTGCTGAACCACTCCCTTCACAGGCTGCCGTTCAAGATGCTCACCGCCAAACGCGTTTTCGAATGTGTGCGGCACCAGGATTGGTTTGCAGCGATCGACCTGAAGGACGCCTACTTTCATGTCTCCATTCTCCCTCGACACAGACCGTTTCTTTGGTTTGCTTTCGAGGGGCAGGCATATCAGTACGCAGTTCTCCCTTTCGGGCTAGCCCTGTCTCCTCGCGTCTTCACGAAGGTCGTCGAGGCAGCCCTTGTTCCCCTCCGGGAACACGGGGTTCGCATCCTGAACTATATCGACGACTGGCTGATTCTAGCTCACTCTCGAGGTCAGCTCTGCGAACACAGGGATTTGGTGCTCCGCCATGTAGCCCGTCTGGGCCTTCGGGTCAACTGGGAGAAGAGCAAACTTTGCCCCGTGCAGAGGATCTCTTTTCTCGGTATGGAGATCGACTCGGTCGCCATGTCCGCGCAGCTAACGAGCGAGCGCGCACAATCACTGCTGACTTGCCTGAGACAGTTCGAGGGCAAGAGTGCGGTTCCACTGAAACTTTTTCAGAGGCTCCTGGGGCATATGGCATCTGCAGCCGTGGCAACGCCGCTCGGATTGCTTCATATGAGACCGCTTCAGCTGTGGCTTCGCGACCGAGTCCCGAGTTGGGCATGGCATCACGGCACCTTCCGAGTACCAGTTACTCCGACCTGCCGTCAGACCTTCACCCCGTGGTCGAACCTCAGTTTTCTACAGGCCGGAGTGCCCCTGGAACGAGCTTCGCGGCATGTTGTTGTAACGACGGATGCCTCTGCCACGGGCTGGGGCGCCATGTGCAACGGACGTGCTGCCGCGGGCTCCTGGACAGGACCCCACCGCTTATGGCACGTCAATTGCCTCGAGTTGCTGGCGGTACAGCTCGCCCTGCGCCGCTTCCGAGCTGTGCTCAGGGGCCAGCATGTACTAGTCCGTTCAGACAATACCGCGACTGTAGCATACATCAACCATCAGGGTGGTCTGCGCTCCCGCCATATGTTTCAACTCGCCCGCCACCTCCTCCTATGGAGTCAGAAGCATCTGAGGTCGCTTCGTGCCATTTATATCCTGAATCCTATATCCTCTGAACTGTGTAGCCGACGAGCTCTCACGGCTTCAGCCCCTCCCTGGAGAATGGCGACCCCAACCCCAGTCGGTTCAGCTGATTTGGGACCAGTTCGGGGACGCACAGGTAGATCTGTTTGCCTCTCACGACTCGACCCATTGCGCCCAGTTTTATTCCCTGACCGAGGGCACGGTCGGCACGGATGCTCTGGCGCACAGCTGGCCGCGGGGCCGCAAATATGCGTTTCCCCCAGTGAGCCTTCTTGCGCAGACCCTGCGCAAGGTCAGGGAGGACGAGGAGCAGGTCATTTTGGTCGCGCCTTACTGGCCCGCCAGGACCTGGTTCCCCGAACTTGTACTCCTCGCGACAGCACCTCCTTGGCCGATTCCTCTGAGGAAGGACCTCCTTTCTCAGGGATGAGGCACCCTATGGCACCCTCGTCCCGATCTTTGGAACCTCCACGTGTGGCTCCTGGACGGGACGAGGCAGGTTTGAGTACCCTACCACCAGCGGTGGTGGCTACCATCACTTCCGCTAGAGCTTCGTCCACGAGACACCTCTACGCGTTGAAGTGGAACCTCTTCGTCAGCTGGTGTTCTTCTCACCGAGAAGACCCCCGGAGATGTTCGATCGGTGTCGTGCTTTCCTTTCTTCAAGATGGGTTGGAGTGAAGGCTGTCTCCCTCCACCCTCAAGGTCTATGTCGCCGCCATTGCCGCACAGCACGACCTTATAGAAGGTAAGTCCGT